ATTTGGACGAAAAACAAATCTTTTAGAAAATGTATCAATATAAAAAATAATTTGAATTGAAGAATTTGTATAAAGTAAAATAAATAAATAGTGATTTAAAATATTTTAATTAGAAATAAATTTTATTTTCATCTATAAAATTATACCATATTGAAGTTCTTTCTCAAGAGAAAACTCGTTTTTTATCCAAAATAAAATTCTTTAGATAAAATAAAATATTGACGAAGAACGTTTTTTTTTTTAAGAATTTTTAAGATGAAATTAGAATGATTTTTTTTATTTCTTTCGATTGAAAATTTTCTTATTTTATTTCTTTTCTCTTTTCATTCTTCAATTTCTTTCAATTCAAATAATTTATTCAACAGAAATTAACAGAGAACATTGTTCGATCTCATTTAGAGATTGTTAAGATCATTTTCTTTTTTGATCATGACCATCATAATTTATAATTGTCACTATAAGAAAGAATCATGAAAAACTTATCCATTGTATTAGTATGATCTATTACAAAGAAATGAAGTATATTGATAAAGTAAAATGTATATACATTGCTGTCAATTAAAGTCATTCTGTGTAATAAAAGAGTTAATATATTCTATCGTATTATAATAAATAAATTTCTTCGGAAGTTTTCTATCATAATAGTCATGTTTGTATAATTCTCTATAAAAGATTATTTGAAAAACTTCTGATACGTAAAGCATTTTTTAGGGTGCAACAACATTTTAGTCGTCGAAAACGCCCCGCTGCCTCCTACGTGAAGAAATATTTTTTTATATAGCCGTTGCCGATCAACTTACTAGCTTATATGTCTCACAAAATCTGATTCATTTTTGTACACTCATCATGTTTGCTTTTAGGAAGACACTCGAAATGTATTTTTCTCTGGTTTCGCCTTCCTACAGCTAGTAGACAGAAAAGAAAAATAAGAAAATAATTAAAATATGATGATGAAAGTAAAAAATAAAAAATACATAAGAGGGCAAAAGAAAAACTTCGCATCACATTTTTATAAATAAAAGGCATAAAACGATAATTTCTCTTCATTGAGAAATAGAGCAGACCGGATTGCCGTTCTTCACAATTCATTCGTCAGGAGTACGTAGGTATACCTTTTCTTGTTATTTTCTGATAAGTCATTATCAGTTATCGAATCCTTAAGAATGGAAATCCGAAACTGATATTGTTGCTCAGAATGACAAATGCTTGGTCTTGTGAACGTTATATATATATATATACATTACAATTTTTTGTATTCATTGATGCTAATACAAGGTTATTTTAGATTATTTTCTTTTAAAAATTTCAAAGAAGAAGGGCACGGCAATCCGCTACATTTAATTATGTCAGAAAGAAAAGGTAAATATTAGTTCTTGCTTTTCCTTTTTTCAATGAATTGTAGAATATGATAGTTTCTTTTTCCGTCGGAATATTCGATGAGAAAAGGATGATAAACCGTTCAATTAATTCTTCAACATGGTGCTACCGTAGTCATGTCACATAATTAAAAAAATGATTTCGCTGTTAGATGAATAGATCATTATTTAATATTGAATTAACATATATTTTTGATTTTTATAATATAATAAAACATTCTTTAGATGATATCAATCAAAACATATATGGTTCCAACTTAAGTGTTACTAATAAAGGTAATGAAATTATATTTTTTTATACAAAATAAAACAATGAAAAATATTATTTTCTATTTTCAAAGAAACAACAACTTTAGGTAAGTTGATATTTTTATATTTAAATCTCTTTTATAGATTGATTGTGTACATTTCCAAACTTAGAAATATTGAACTATAAAAGCAAAGGAATAAATGATGATGATGATGATGATAAATATGCAGTTGAAGAGGCAGAATTTGATTCCAATACAGAAGATTTGTCAAATATCGACCAGAGAATATATCCACGAGAAATTTTAACAGATCAGGATGATCCTTCATTATATCCATCCAGTGGAGCTTCTAATCTCAATGATGAGGCAAATGGTACTCATACAGATAGTGTCTATTTACATCAGTAAGCAAACTTCAGAAATATATTATATATTCATAGAAATCAGAGGAGGTTTTTGGAATACTTATAACCGTTTTTGATTCGATAGGTTTTTCTAAAACAAGTGTCATTTAAAAAATGAGTTTTGACCTTTTATTCAAGCCATGAAGAGAACGATCATCATACATCTAATGACGTATAGATTATATTTAAAAATTCGACTTTTTATTTTTTTTATATAACTAAATAATAATTCTATATATATATATTATTAGATGTATTAGAAGACGACCATCTGAAGATTGTCATTTTCCTGATGCGAGATTCACGTAAGTATAATTTTGCTAGATAATAAATAAACAATCAGTTCATTATTATTCTTAATTAATTTTGATCTTTGTTGAAGATTTTTTCCTGATAAAAAGCAAGAAGATGTTATCAAGATTCTTTTAAAAGCTCAAGCCGAAATGGATAAGATTTGGTCAAATATAGATAAAAGATATACAAAAATAACGATAACACCAAAAATACGACCACAAATGATTAGAGAGTTCAAGAGAGAATATGATTCGTATTGTATGTACTAAAGGACTTTATAGAAAATTTTGATTCAATTAATCTATCTTTTTTGTAGTATCTAAAGAATATCCTACACAAGTAAAATCGGTGAAAGATGCACTATTAATATTAAGAAAATCATCATTCGGTATACTTATTCTCAACACAAAAAATCAGGTAAAGAAATAATTATTGGATATGCCGGCAATTTTTATTGCCAAAGTAAAACTTTGGTTTATCGATAGTGAAAAAGTTTCTATATTGTACTTCCGAATAATTAATATTTTTGTTCTACTGTATTAAATATGTTTAGATATTGGCAGTACAAAATTATCAAGGAACTTGGAGTGCTCCGAAAGGTCATCCAAAATATAAAGATGATGGTACATTAGAAATTCCATCAGAAACAGTATCGCGAGAATCATGTGAAGAGCTCTTAATTACATGTAAGAGAAATAAACGTAAATTAACAATTAATAAAGATAATCTGGATCATTTTTTTGGTTTAAACAATGATAACTTTCTCGAATGCCGTTTTAATGATAGACCAGGCACTAATGATGGATTACGACAAATCGGTCTTTTTGTTGTCCGTGTCGATGAAACGAAATGGACGTTTAGTTTAAAGGATAACAAAGAGAATAGGGTAATTATAAATACTTCTTTTCGCTTTTAAACTATTAAAATCATTATTATTGTTTTGCTTTAGGCTTGTGAATGGTTAAATATTGCTGATATTGTTCGTAATAAGCCCGAAGTTGGACGCGACATATACTATACGTTACGTCCGTTCGCTCAGTAAGTTGAACGTTTATTTTCAAAGGACAAAAACAAAAAAGACTATATTCTTCTTTTATTTAGATATTTAAAAGACAATCCAATGCCTTAACACAACAAATCTTTTTGTTTTGAAAAAAAACAATAATTCATCCTGACTAAATATGTCTATTTTTTCTTATATATTTAATCTTGAATAAATAAAATCTATAAGATATAAAAAATGATTTCTCATATATGAATTCAAAAGATAACGTATGTATTATGTCTTAAGTGATTACTTCCTATTGCTAGTGTCTTGATGGCCAGAGTATTACCTAATTCAACATAAATCGTACTCTCCATTGACTAATTTATCGGTAACATGTTCCAAAGAGCAACGCTAGAACAATAAGAATAAATTAACATTAAATTTAATCTAGAATTTTTTTTTCAAAAAGACCATCAAAAAATAGAATAACCGTATCATTAGATTCTAAATCTATTTTTTGATAAGATGTTGGCTATGCAGACTTTCAGTAAAAATGTTTTTTGCTTTTTTTACATCATTCTATAGAATGTGAGCTACTGATCACGCAATAGTACTTTTTAGACTTAGCAAATACTTTTCGGTCGAAAAATACGAAATACTCGGAGGATACTGATTTGTTTTTAAAAAACACATCTTTTGTCAGAATATGCAAAATTATCCACTTTCTTCTTGTTTTCAGCTTCTGAAAATAAATTTTCCAGATTCAGCATACAAAACTGAATAAAAACAAGTTGTGAAATTAACTATAGGCCCAAAACTCTGTTGAGGTGGGTATAGGTATGGATGTACATCAATTCTTTATTCATCTCCACACCCATACCCACCCTCAACGATCCAGACATTGGATACTTGGTACAATACTTGGTACTTCTCGTACTTTTTACTTAAAATCCGAAGTACTAAGTAAATTTCTTGCAGTACAGGTAAATGTACTTGTAGTATAAAAAATGTACTGGTACTTGCACTAAATATTTATTTACTTAAGTATTTGTACTGTAAGCACAAAAAGTACTTCGATTATTTTTCAGATCTCGTATCTTTCAAATATTATTAATACGCTTACTTGTATAGATTTTCCGTCTCAATTAAGATTCTATTATTTTATCTCTTTTCAGTTTGCTTCAGCGCCTAGTTCTAATTAATGACATTAGTGTTGTTTGATGATACTTTCATATGAGTTCTTTCCTGCTGAACCATGCTTTGTCAGTGATAATTATATCGATTTGGACATGACTTTAGAACGATTGTATCAATATTTTAGTCACAGTATTTCAGATAATTAATATAAAAAGCATTTTAACAAAAACTTATAATTTTATTGAATAAGAAAAAAATCATCAGTTGACTAGCATAATAACTTTTTCTTGTGTAAAATAAAATAAAGTAACAAACAATTAAAATTAAATTTATCAGTAAAATATCTGTGAATCGAAAGCAGCTAACTTGAACAAGAGACAAATGAGATATTTATCTACAATAAATTATAATTAGGAACTAACAATAATAACATTTATATTATGTGAAGTATAACTTATATTCATTCATTTTATAGATGTTACTAATTCGAATGTTAGTCAGTTTTTTTAAAAGTACGAAAATATATTAGACCAGTTTTTAAAGACATTTGTACTTAAGTACAAGTACAAGTATTTATACTTAGTACTGGTATTAAGTACCGATTTACTTAAGTATATTTGTACTCGATACTGGTACTGAGTACAATGTACTTAAGTAAAAAGTATTTTAGTGAAGTCCTAAGTGGTACTTTTTAGATTCAAGTATTTGTACTTTTACTGAGTGTACTTGTACTTGTCCAATGTCTGCTCCGATCGAAGAACTTTTTCATTGATTTGTAATTACATTTCGTTAGGGAATGTTTAACATTCACTGTTTGATAATACTCAGAGAACAAAAATATGAAAAAATTTGTATTAAACTTATTTCGTGGAAGCACCCCATATTCGTCTCATCAGTATGATCCCCTTTAAATTTCTCTTTACCGAATCATAATTAGTATTTCATTAACAACTTTACTATTTCATCGATGTATAAGAGATGTACGATTGAACAACGTCTATGCTTTATATAAGAGAGACGCACAGTTTGTATTGATTGAATTGATTTTGTTATTAATATTTTGATTCTGGTAAAATGACATGATCTTTTAAGTTTGAGAAAATAAAACTATTTGCACATGTATGGTTTTCGTTATTATTCTAACATTGAAGTATACAATTGATCTATATTTATTTTTCCTGTCGGTTCATTGAGTTTTAGAATATATATATGAATATTTGAGTGTCACCGTAACCATTAAAAAATTTCTCTAATTTTATTTACAAATTTGACTTTCATACATAAATTAAAACAAAATAAAAATAGAAAATGAAGAATACATAAAAATATATTTATATATATATATTTTTTTTAAATTAAGATGTGTAGAAAATATTCTATGTATTAAAATTTTCATAAAATAAATGGTGGTGTTTGATCATCTATTTTGGATATTTCTGCAAATTGTACAATACGATCACGTCGTTGTGTTTGATGAAAATCAATATCGGTATAAAGTCTTGTTGATGATGATTGTTCAATATGATTATCATCAGACGTAATAAAATCTTGTCGTTGTTCATCATCGATATTTTTCGGTAAAAGTAAATCAATATAATCAAGTGATTTGTCTGATGATAATGATGGCTCATTATGAATTGTAGATAGACTAGATATAGCAGAATTAGATAAAGTTAATGGTTCGATTAATGCATATGGATCATTTGATGAAGATTTTTCTTCAACAATATGTGATAAATATGAACGTGATAGAGATGTTGGTATATTAGTTTGATTTATCGTATCATCATTTAATACTAATGATGGTGTTGGTGCTGGTCCAAGTAAATAATTTGTTGTTTGATCAATAACATTTTCATCCAAAACCAATATATTACCATGTGATGTATTATCACCAGTATTATTTGTTGAAAGAGATAATGTACGAAATATATGTGAACTTGATGATGATGATAGTATATTACTAAATGAATAACTATTTGATGGTTGTTGTTGATGAGATGTTGACATAAGACTAAGATCAGAATTTAAACGACGTTCAATAGTTGAATCATCACATAATAAACTTGATTCAAGTTCTGTGTTATTCATTGTTAATAGTGGATTATTGAAAGTTACTATACCATAAGAAAGACATAATGATTGTTGAGAACTTGATGTAGATGTTGGATGATGAAAAGAACTAGTTGAAGCACACGCTATCATATCAGTAGATATTGCTAAATAGAATAATTAGATATTTATAAAAACTATGAAATAATATTTACGATAAGTGTTAAGTGTTGTTTGTCCAGTTAATTGTGCTTTAAATGGTTGCATAACACTAGCAGGAGATGTAAACGAACGTTGACCAATAGGATAAATAGATTTTTCTAAAAAGAATTATAATAAATAAAGGGATTTATTATACAATTTAATTATACCTTCAGCAATTAAATGTACTGCACCACCAACAATAATAGCTGAACGAATATATGATGGTATACTTATTGTAGCTAAAATAAAATTCTAAGATTTAATCTATTATCTTTAGAACTTACTATTAACGCCCATATCTCTCGTTGCTTTTGGTTCTTCAGCTATCATTTCTAATTGTTGCGTGTGATCTGTTTTTTCATTAACAGGACCCATATCAATATATGATCCAATAGTTGTTTCTTGTCTATTTACTGATGATGATGATGATATAAGAGAAGTAAGATTTCTTTTAGTAGTAAGTAATTCAAATGTCTCAGGAGGTGTCGTTTGAGATTTTGGTAAAATAATGCGATTTTCTTCAATATTTAATTCAAATAATTTACTTGATAACGAAGTAGATAAAATTTTCGATTGTTCATTTAAATTATCTTGATTACTATCAAATGTACTTGATCGTCGTAATGAAGTACTATTTTTCAGTATTTTACGAAAAAACCCAGCTACGGAACGTGATTTAACTTCGTTTGATTTCGTTGATATAGATCCAATAGAATCTTTTTTAAGAAATGATAACGATGGATCAAGAATTGCTTGATTTGTTATATCATGAGTAAGTTGTATAGGCGGATGAATATTTTTCGATTTTTCCATCCGTTTACTTGTTAATAATTTATTTTGAAATGCTGATGAAAGTATTAATGGTCGTTCTTCAATAACTGGACTAGCTAATAAATGTATTGTACTAGCTAATGATGGTGAATAACATTTCATATGTATTTCACCATTACCATAATTTGATTTACCTAATTCAATAAGAAATATATTTGAACGATTTCCATAATGTTTTATTGTAAAATACGGAATACATAAAATCATATGATCTTTTGATGGACATTGATTTGTAATAGTTGTTTTTAAATCTATTCGATTACAATCTATTGAAGTTACATAAAGATCTGTTGTAGTAAAATAAATTCGTGCTGAACCAATTAATACATGATCACGAGATAAAATTGTTCCTGATGGAAGTAATTTAATATCAAATGTATGTAGAATATGTTCAGTTGTTGTTTGATATGACAATTCATGTGATGATAATTGTTCATTAATATCTGTTCGTTTTTGACACATATATTCAAGATGTTTAATAATAATTGGTTTTTTATTTATATGTTCATCAGAAAAATAGATTGATACGGTATAAGATTCATAATAAATAAAAATAAATGATTGAAAATCATTTTTAACAGTATCAAAATATTCAAATGATATACATTCATTTAACAATATTGATGAAGAATTTTTTCCATTCACAATTTCTATACATGGTTGCTCACTTGATGTCGATATTGAACAACTATCGACAAATGTTAAGTGCGTATGACGTTTACTTTTCTAAATAAGAAAAAAATAAGATTATGTCTAAACAGCTGATGACAGGTAAATATGATTATTTTTATACTCAAGGACATTTACGCCTATACGTTTCGGATTCTTGTTTTTTTTCTTCTCTACCTGTTTACTAGTATACATTATCCAGATAAGTTTTATGTCTAGAAATAAAATCAACAAACCTTTTTTCTTTGAGTGCAAATTAGTTTAATCGCACATAATACTAATTTTTCATGTGCATCATTGACTGCTGCTGCTGTTGCTGCTGGTGTTGTCGTTGTTGTTGTTGTAATAGCAGTAATATATCCTGATTGATGGACATTATTTTCTTGTTGAGAAATAACTGTTGACATCTTACATGATTTCTAGAACGGACAAAGAAAAAAAAAGGAAAAAAATACATTTAATTTTATCTATTCTGACGTGTGTTATTTTCTTCCCGTTTTCGTGCTTTTTAATACGCACAAGCACCAGAACAGATATCTGAATGAAAATATAGAGACACACGTAATCACTTACAAATAAACAAACAAACAAACAAACAAAGAGAAAAATATAAATAGCTAGTGTTATATTGTTATTACAAGAACTAATCATCGTTTTCATCAACTGGATTTACACCTGATATCATATCAAATTCAGCTGGATTCTCAGATGTATCACCATTATCATATGAATTAAAACTTTGTGGTTGTTGAAGAAGTAATTGTTGTAATTGTGAATGTTGTTGAATAGAAGATGATGAGTAAGTTGGTGGATAATCATGAGGTGTTAAAGGTGTTTGAGGAGTTTCAGGAGGTGATGAACCATTCGATGTTTGATGTTTATAAATTGCCATTTCAGCTTGATAAACATGTTTTTTCTCTGATGCTGCTTGTTCATATTTGGTTTTTAGTTCAGCTGGTGCACTTTTCCATCGAACACCAAGTTCTCGTGCCACATCACTTACAGACATGCCTATTATTTAGAAAAATTTTAATTTTTAATTCAAAAAATACAAATAAATTATTTTTATATCGTATACAAAATTATAAGTGCAAACCTATAAATAGTTACAATTATATTTTCACGTATGAAAAACACTTACACATAATATTCTTTTCTTTAATCGAGACTTTATTTATATTCATCTCTTTTTTTTTTAAAAGAAGAATTTAACCGAGTACATCGCTAAAGTATAAATGCAATCATCGAAAGACAATAATCAGCTTGTATTTTTTTTTATAATGAAAATGTATTGCCTATTCACCTGGTTGAATCAACTACGTATTAAAAATAACTTGTTTTTTGTCTTTATTTCTTTTTTATTGTAAATATATATATATGCGTCTAATATTTTTTCTATAGGTTTCTTTGTCAAATAGAAAAGGAAAGAATTGATTAAGAAATATAATAAAAAACAAAACAAGGAATAATGCAAAAAATATTGCATTCAATATGTTGACTTTAGGAACATTCACAAATAATTAAGAAGACATTATTAAGAAAAAATTCTGCGAAATTATTCTTTTACACATAAAGAGAAATTTTAGAATAATAATTTATATGTTTAAAAAAAGAAGTCATTAACATATAATGAAATCTTCATTCGTAAATAAGTGTTAAAAATTAAGAACTAGAACATATCATTTCCTGATTTTATTAACGAGAGATAGATTATCCTTCCTAGATATATTTGAAATAGTACATCATATTATGTTCTAGACTATTACTCATACTTTTTCATTTATAGTGCATCTCCGTTGTTTATTTATACTATTATATTATCATATTTCATTTAATATTAAATATATTATAAATAGAGCAAAAAAATACGTAATACACAGTGCCTTCTGGTACATCTAATTTGATTGACAGATAGGATACAGAGTACAAACAAAATAATGTGCGTACTCTTTTCCTATTACAATTGACAACAAGAAGTAAATTGATTTTCCTTCTCATTTATTTCTCTCTATCTGTATCTATACAGAATTCTATCAACTAATATTTGAGGAAAAAAAAATACTGGACGAAGATTGTTGAGTGTAAGAAAACTTAGAAATGATTTTTTCATTCTGTGTGTTTTACTTTAAATATTTAATTTAAAGATCGAAAATGATTTGTGTTTTTTTTCTTACCTGTTTGTGAACCATGTACTTTAGGTCGTTCATCAGCACAAAAAAGAAAATAAGCTGATAGTGGTTTTTTAGGTGCAAGTGGATCTTTAGGTTTTCTTTCGCGTTTTCTTGCTGGTTTCTTTGGTAAAGTAACAAGTGTTGTTGTTGCTGTATGTTGTGTTTGTGTAGGAATAATTAATTTATGTTGTTGTTGTTGTGGTTCAACAAGATATTGTGTTGATGGTGTTTGAAGTAATATAGATGATGTAGCAGATTGTTGTAATTGTTGTTGTTGTTTAGCTGATTGTTCTTGTAAGTATGTTGCCATTTCTTCTTTATATCGTTTACGTTGTAAATCAGCTGTATCATTAAAACGTTTTTTTTCAGTATCATTCATAGCTTTCCAACGTTCTGAACATTTCTTTGCAATAACATTATAATCAACTGTTAATTGAGGATATTTACGTCGTAATTCATCTCGACAAGTTCGAACAAATAAAGCATAAGCTGTTACTGGTCCACGAGGTTTATTCGCATCCAAAGGTCTTTTAGGCATTATTGAAATAAATTAAATATTATGATATTATTATTTTTATTATTATTTATATAATTGAGTAATATCAAAGATAAATAGGCAAATAAGAATAATTTTCAGGTTGATTGATTTTATTATTTTTTTGCTTTCTCGCTTAAAAGAAAGGTAAAAAAAACAATAAACATCATCATCAACTATTTGCAGAAAAAAAAGAACTAGTAGGCCAATTGTAAGAGTGTGCTACAATCGATGTTATGTATTTATTTGACAGGAGGATAGATAAAAGATTTCTATTGGTTCATTTTTCTTATGATTAGCTTTTCCAAGTTTTTCTAATAAACATTAATGTGTAACAATAGTCATTGCGGAAATCTACACAGAACAAAAATAACATCGCTTTAGAAGCTTGAAGGTAAGATATAAAAAAAAGTAATTGCTTGTTTGTTTTTCTTATTGACTTAGAATAAATTACTACAAACAGGAAAAAACACTACTTGACTTTTTCTACTATTGTTTATTTATGAGTAACAGATAAATTTTACGACTATTGTTTATAAAATAAAAAATTTTTTGTTCTTTTTTTATTTAAGAAGATCCGAATAAAATTACAATGTCAAATCCACCAAGCCGTAGTCCATCAGGAATTTTATCTGAACCAAATAATGCTTCAGCATCAACACCTTTCACTGAACAGCCGGATCTTCCTCTTCTATACAAAGCTCATGATGATACGAGTTCAATGATATCTCATTTGGATGAAAACAATGAGAATGAAGCTGTATGATATATATATATATATATTTGTATAAATATAATGGATTATAAATAATTTAGGTTGCGCCATTGGTTTCTTCAATTTATGGTGAACAAAACGAGAATAAAACAACGTAAATCTTATTCGTTTTTTTTGGTTATATATCAATTAGAAAAAAAAATTGTTTTCTTTTTAAATAGAAAACTAGAAACTTTAATGCATATAATCAAAGGTAATATTGGAGCTGGTATTCTTGCATTTCCTTATGCATTATCAAAAGCTGGAATACTCGTATGTAGATTGTCTTTATTACATATATGAATATTATATAGATAATTATTTAAGTTTGGACCTATTGCTTTTTGGATTATGGGTGCAATGACATTATATTGTATGCATCAACTTCTTCGATGTCATAGTCATTATCAATATCGGTTAGTTCAAATAAAATGAATATATCGATACTAAATATATATTTTCAATTGTAGTATATCACGACAAAAATGTGATTTTGGAGATATTATGCGATATACATTAGCAACATGTCGCTGGAGATGTGTACATCGTTATGCAAAGCTGGGAAAGTAAGAATATTAATCGTTTTGAATAACTGTATTGATTTGTTTTTTTTTCTTATTAGATTTATTATTGATGGTTTTATTGTTGTAACACAACTTGGATTTTGCGCAGTGTACTTCGTATTTGTACCAGCTAGTATTAAACAGGTAAGTTAGTAAACACGATCGAATATTAAGAATCCTTCCTACATTCTCAGCAAGACATCCATTAGATTCAGTACATTTACAAGATAAGATACATTGGTATCATTCCTATCTTGAAATACCACATGAATTACTGTGATAATGTATGACATTCTAATTACTTTTGAAATAAGAAGATTTTTTTGTAAATTGGATTATATAATAATTGCTTATTTGTTTTAAATAGTATTGAAGGTTGAGATTAGTTAATTAATTTTGTAATGCTTAAATAGGTTGTCGATCATTATTTCGTTCATAATCTACCGATTCAAGTTTATCAATTTATAATGTTATTACTTGTCATTGGTTTTTCATTCATTCGAAGTCTCAAAGTACTTGCACCAATTTCACTTGCTGCTAATATAATTACTATTGGAGGTACAAAAAAAGAAAGAAAACAAATTTTTACTGAATTAAATAATTAATTTCTTGTTAGGATTAATTGTAATTATGCAGTATGTTGTTCAAGATCACATTCCACTTAAACAGTTGCCTCTTATAACACCACCATCAGAATGGCCAGTATTTTTTGCAGCTGCAATGTATGTATTCGAAGGAATTGGTCTGGTATGTATAAAACAGGAAAGAATTCTAGAATTAATCTACATGTAATTAGGTTTTACCAATTCAACAAAAAATGAAAGAACCAGAATCTTATGGTGGAGTGACTGGAGTACTTAATATAGGCATAATTATCGTTACTACTCTATATTTTTTCGTTGGATTTTTTGGCTATATTCGATATGGATCTGATGCACTTGGTTCGATTACACTTAATTTACCGAATGATAATATGTAAGTTCAATGAATGACTGAATCAATTTATTTCTATTCATTTTAATTTAAATAGAGTATATCAAATTACTAAAATTATGTATGCTGTAGCAGTATTTTTAACATACAATTTACAATTTTATGTTCCATTTTCACTCCTATGGCCACGTTTATGTCGTAAAGTTTTTTATCGATACGGTGAAATAACAGTCGAAAAATGTGAACATGCCTTTCGAATTGGTCTTATTCTTATTACATGTACGTCGATGAAGAACAATTAATATATAAGATTAAGATACGATTTCTTTATCTATTTCAGTTATTATCGCTGCATTGATTCCTAACCTTGGCCTTGTCATATCTTTAGGTATATAATATTTAAATTTATATAAAGGAATTTCTTAATTTGATTTTTATAAATTTAGTCGGAGCTGTAGCATCTACAGCATTATCAGTTATATTTCCTCCAATATGTGAATCAATAACATTTTGGCCTGATGGTCTTGGTCGTTATAAATGGCAATTAATGTTAAATTTATTAATAATTAGTTTTGGTTTATATGTATTTATTGCTGGTACAACTCTTAGTGTATCAAATATAATTGCTTGCATTCGTGATGGAGCTCGGTGTGACGATTAAAAAGAAAAATTCTAATCAGATATTCAAAAAAAAAAATAATTATTTATTTGGAAAAGTGCAATTGATAAATATAATCTATTTTTCTGTTGTTGTTATTGTGTATATGTATTTTATTTCTTAACCCGTTGATGTAACAGTGGCATATTTTATTATTTAATCAATAAAAATCGAATCTCTTATTGTTGTCAGTCAATATTTTAGATATAATGTCTAATTGGTTTACATCTACTTTTCAAATTGTTCGTGACAAAGTAAAAAAAATTCATCTAGAATGATTTTAATCTTAGTTTTATATTCTAGTCGATTGATGCACTCGAATTTGTACGTAAAGATATATCAGAATTTACAACAACAGTTAAAAGCGATGCTGAAACTTATTTAAATAAAATAAAAAATCAATCTGTAAGATTTTTTATACGAAGTTTTCCTTTAGAGATATATGATATTTATTTAGGTTGATGATCTTGGAATTATACCGAGATTACATAATGATGATGGAAAACATATTGTAGCATCAACAACATTTGATCGACTTAACGTAATATATATATTCCTAAATTGACTATTGAACTTACATATAAGAATATATAGATCTATTTCAAATCTCCTTTAAACTAAAATTCGAGAACTGTTTGGTAAATATATGTATAAAGCAAGTCATGCTCATACTAAATAAACTAATTAATATATCAGATAAAGTTAGTTATATGTATGAAAGTAATAAAATAAAATATAGACTCTCAGTTATGCTTACTAATCATTAATATGTAATATCTACGAAATTTTTGATGAAGTTAACTAGGTCTTTCTTTCGTATTATTAATATCTACAGATTATTTTACTTTTAGAATGAAAAACTCCGAATACAAAATGATGAATCAACATATTTGACTGATCCATTACCAACAGAAACATATAAAACTTGGCTTGAAACAAGTGATTTTAATGTTGAAAAATGTAAAAGTGATATATCACAATTATTAATTGATGCTCCACATGTTCGTTCATTCCATGCACGTCTTGTACCTGCATGTACAACATACAATGATTTCTGGTCACGATATTATTTTCGTTTATATCAACTTGATGAAGATGAAAAAAAACGATTAAATTTATTAAAACGTGCACATGAAATATGTAATGAAAATTCAGGAAATGATTGGGATGGACCAGGTAAATTATTTATCTCTCAATATTTAATAGAAGTTCTTTTTCTTTAGAGGATGAATGGTTACATGACACTTCCATTGTAAATCAACAATCAACACCAATTATTGCAATCACTTCCGAAACTATAACTAATGAAAAAACAGAAAGTGATACAGGTAAAAAAGGCGCTTCAAATAAAAATAATAATCTAATTCTTTAATTTTTAGTTTCAGGTGATAGTTGGGAACGTGAATTTGATGAAACAGATCTCGATACATCTAAAGCTAATTCAAATCTATCTAACGCGCTTCAACAAATAAGTATAGATGAAAGTTCATCTGTACAAAACAGTATAAAAACAACGAAAAAACCAGATGATGAATTTGATGATGAATGGGAATCATGGTCTTAGTTATTTTGTTTTATTATGTAATATAAATGTATTAACTATTTATAATGAAAAGGGAAATATGGCATTTTGAACTTAATTATATAACAGACCTTATTTTTCTGTCTATTTTGTTATGAAATATATATTTGTCTATTTATATGAAATCAACAAACGAATCTATACAATCTCGTCTGATAATTAAATATTATTTATTCGTTTCTAGTTAAGGAGTCTTATAATGTCAAAAACTGATGGAGTTAGATTAGAAAATTTCAAAGGTAATGTTACAGACAGTTGCATTTAAGTTAAGGCTAAAGATATTTACATTCAAGCTATTCTGTAATGTCTTTTATTTGACTTGCTTATAGTTTTATAAATGAAATATATATGAAGTATGTCAATTGTAAATATTAGCCTCTAGCAAATAGCATTAACATCGTATGATAAGGTTTTCTTTCTTGTTCGTTCTTGCTAGTTAAGAACGTTTCCATCCTACTGATGTGTAAGTATGTATCTTCTTCCTTCCGGATTTGTAGATCATTAATCTATCACGAAAGATATGTTTATAATTTTTTCCATTTCTTTTATAAGGATAAAATAATTGAAATAGAGATGATTACCGATAAATTCATTGCTTAACAAGTTCTCATTTAATAAACATTTCGATTATACTGACATGTATAATCAATTGAATATATATATATATATTACGGAAAATTACAGATAATTTCATTATTTCAATATGATATAGTTTAGAACTATATTTGCTTCAACTGAATTGGAATTATTTCCTTTATAATAAAGAAATTTAAAATTTTTTTTGTCATAGTCGTCAGAATGTACGCCCAATTACAATTATTAGGTTAAAATCTAATTAATACATCTGTCTATTCAAAATGACATATTGACTTTGACATAAGATGATATTTGATTATAAATAATTTTAATTAAAATAAATAATTTTACAATGAAAAAAGAAATTTTTTAATTATTAAAATTTAGAATGTACTTTTAAAACGTAATAATCATAAAATTTGTATGACGATTATCATGTCTATTTGCAATAGTTAAATAATAAAAAAAACATGTAATCTTTGTAATTGTTACATGGATATATATTGAATTACTAATCAATATACACGCGTTCTATCAATATAAAACATGAGTTAATATTATGATGGTTTGTTTTGGATAAAATTCAAAAAAAAACTATGCATGAAAAATATATTTACATAAATTGAAAATAGACGTCCTTTCTTCTACTTTGTATTATCAAATTGTTTATTTTATAATTAAAATACAAATCTGAGAACAAGATTAAATAGATGGATTAATTTATTTTTAAGAATAAACTGAACTAATATTTTTTATTAAAAAAGAATTTGACAGGCTATCACAATTACTGATAGATCATCCGAGTTTTTTCTCTCGTTTCCGGTCTGTTTTTTTTATGTAAGAAAAAAGATAGACACATTCTCTTATACTCGTTCAAATCGTAATATATACGTATCCGTTACTCTCCGATTAATCTGTGAACGTATTAATGATGAATGCTTCATGCCATGTTACTGCTGATTCACAGATGATTTTATCATTTTTTATAATCGGATTCTTTTTAGCAACTATCGGTTGTATACTGAATAGTTGCTCCTGTATACTTTTTATTCGAACAAAATCCCTTTTTAACACACCATATGCTATATTTATAATTGCATTGTCAATAGCTGATATTATTAAATTAATAGCCGAATATTTTCTTCATTTATTATTTGTTTATATTCAACATCCGTATTTTGTTTGTTCAATAACATGGTTTTTAACAATGACAAGTGAGAATGCATCTTATGCATTTCTTTGTGCATTAGGTAATTGAAATATTATCATCTACAGATATTTCTTTGAAATCAATTGAATACAAACTTAACACAAAAAGATCTAGGTTTTCTCTTCTTTGAACATTATTCATTATAATTACATGCATTTCCTCTATCATTTCATTCAGGAATTAAGCAACTAGAATTTTTTATAAAAGAAAAATTAACAACATATTTTCGAGGTCTTATAAATAATCTATTTCTTCAGGTGTTGAACGTAATATAAAAGTATGGACAATAGATCGTCGTTGGTTAATAACTCGACAACGTGCATGTTGGATAACATTATTTATAGTTATAATTGTAATTATTTACAATCATCCATTTCTTTTCTGGCCATTTGATGTTACGTTTTGTTATTTTACATTATTTAATTATTCAAATATATATATATGTAATAATGCATATTATCATGCATATGGTTATTTATTTTCAGTAACAAAATTTTTATTTATTGAAAATCTTGGTTTAAATAATATTATTTTACCATTAATGATTATATTTACAAATATTATATTAATTATTGGTTTAAAACGTCGTACACATCAACGTCGAAATCATTTAGGTGCAAATAATACAGATGATTGGAGAGAACATAGTGTTGTTATTTATATGATATTATCGAGTATAGTTTTTGTTATTCTAACATGTCCTATTGGAATTTTAGGTGTTTGGGGAATAATTTCTGGTAAAACAATACCAACAAATAATTTAGCTATGATTTTTGATTTAATGGAAATAATTCATCATTGTACACATTTTCCAATTTTATTAATGACAAGTTCATTATTACGTAAAAAAACTTTTCAACTTCATTTACAACGTAAAAAATCAGTGTCTATTAAATTATCACGTTTAAATGAACAAACATTTAATCACCGACAAACTTTTGTACTACCATCTCGTCCACGTTCAACTCCTTTTACAACTGATGATACATAAAAACATTTATTTTTTTTATATGCTCAAATATAGAGATATTATTTATCTAATAGTAAATACTGTGAAATCTATTATAAATAAAGATGCATGACGTTGCTCTTTTTCATTAGATAAAATATTTTTATTTCATAAATAATCTATCTATCGTTCGTTAGTATTACGAAGATAGATATTTTCGTTTATTTGAAATATTTCATTCAATCATTTATTTTCCGATACCAAGTAAACCAAGTTGGGATAAAAATTGAATTAATTCTTGTTGTGCGACTAATTCGGTGAATGAATGACAATTTTCAGCAACCTAAAAAATAAATATTAGTATTAAAAAAAAGAAAAACAATGAATTATTTGTTTCTTCTTACAAGTAAATAACCAGAACAACATTTAACTTCATGACTAGCGCATGCATTCATATTAGGAATTTGAAATGTTTGTATATAGCTATATATTTCCGCTCTAGAAAAACCAAAATATTAATGATGAAAATATTATATATATAATTAATATAAACCGAGTAGCTGCAACGAAGTGACTGCATCTCATTGAGCCCATAAAACCACAACTAACATAACCAACCTAAATAAACTGTTTATTAGTAAATTAAATCATTTTTTTAATTTAATATGTTACTTTTGTTTTTGTATGCACAATTTTTGTACCATATTCAATTTTTGTTGCAGTTACGGTTGTAATAGGTTGTTCATTAATACAACACCAATGTCTTTGAACATATCAAATCTGAGAAAAAAACAAGTGAATCAATTTACTTAACTTACGAGTTATCACCATTACGACCTTTCAAAGTAGTTAATGATGATCGAATTGATTCAGGCAAATCAGCTAATTTTACATTAGCTAAATATTCAAGTGCTGCATCACTTAACTAATAATAAATGAAAAAGAATTAGAAATTTTATCTATTTAATGATACAACTAACTTCAAATGGAACAGCATTAACTGTAACTAAAGCAACGAAACAGAAGCAAATAATAAATTTCATCATGGCTATACTTGTAATAAGTCCGAGAAAATAACTGTCCTTTTTATTTTTACTCGTATACAAAATATACCGCCCACCTATTATAGTCTGATGTTATCATTTAACACATCTGTATCCTATTCTCATAATATTATCTTTAAGACAGACGCTTTTTTTTCCAAAACTATATTGATCATGTGACGTCGAAAGATTTTCGTTTATTATAAAACAAAATGGATTAATATTAAAAATAGAATTATTTATTTCTGAAGTTTATAATAAATCTATTTAAAAGTAAATTTATCTAGTAATCGTTATAGTATTTCACAAAGAATGAAGATCTATCAAAATCAATAAAGTGGTCATCTAAAACCCGAAGTGCGATTGACACCAAAACACGTTATTTACTTATTCAAACTAGATATAGATACACGACCCATGGAGGTACAGTTGTAAAAAAAACTTTAAGGCTCTAGCCCTTTCCGTTCGGGAGATATACAGGTACCAAGGGGCAAAATGGGGGTCCCACGCGTACAAGGATTTTTTCAATATACTTCAAGATGGAGCGCTCGGGCTGGTCTCATTTGAAAGAGAACTTCTTGGTGCTTCGGATGACGGAAAGGATTTTTTTTCTTCGGTGGGATCTATAAAACTTTGAAATTCTAAAAACCCTATGTAGGAGTTTTCAGAAAATACCTGATTACTCATAGATTGGTAGTCAAATAAAAAAAACGCAGTTTAATAGAGTAAACTATAGTGGAGAAAAACCTGTTCAGAGATTGATATTTTTCAAGAAACTCGATTTTGAGAAAAACGATATTTTTGGATCCATATAAGCAATAATGGCTTCAACTAACTTGAATTTTTTCACAAAGTTTCCTTAAAAAAGTTACAGATTCAATCAAATCTTTACGGATTTATAAAGTAGACGACTCAAGCGTCATGCTCATGTGTTTATCTCAAAATCCATTTTTTTGACGAAAATCGATTTTTTGGATATAATATTTAAAAACAGAAATACAACAAATGAATTTTCAATATATTCTTATATCATAAATAATACATATAATATATAATTATTTTCAGTAAAAACGAACCATCAAGAACATTTTTATCTAAATAAAATACATTACACTATTTGTTTTATCGACATTATTTTCTCAATAAAAAACAACTCTATTCTAATAATAATTTAGTTGTTATTATTTATGATGTTTACTTAGATCTATCGAATATAAATCATCAATAAAATGATGAGTAGTTCATAGTTTTACTGCTCTATTAAGAAAAAAAAACACGAACCTTATGCCATTTTCATATAATATAGAAATATGTAGTCGAGTTCACATAATGTTATAGATCAGACTATACATCTTGACATAGCTGAGTGTAGTTTGCTTTTCGGTTCAAGTATTTGTTTTCGTATGAACATCACATTCTTTTCTTTTTAGTGAAATAGGAGAGATTAAATAAAAGTTCTCTTATTACTAAAAAACAACAACGTATAATGATCGAACTCTTGAGAAGTGATTTATTCGTGTAAAATCAAAAAATAAGAAAAAAAAAGCATACAGTTAAACTGGGTAATATAATGATCACTTTATAATACCGGTTCCGTTCTTTTTTTTTTCTATTATGCTTGTTTAAAAAGTAAAATAGTAAGGAAATCCGAGTGGTAAATTACTATGGAAACAAATAGAATGATTTTAATTTATCCTCAAGCTATTTTCATTGTAATAAATCTTGTTTTTGTTTTCAATAAGAAAGTGTAGAACAGAAATATTTCTTTTTTTCTCAGTTTAGATCTAATTATATGAGTAATTATGAAAAGAAATAAAATTCGTTTTTTGTTATTTTCTCTCCCTCACCACGGGTGTACGAATTAATTTTCGAACTTATTTCATTTATTTTTTATGATTTAACTCAAGTGTTTTTCTCTCAGCAATAATCAATTGAATGAGAAGATTAATTGTCACCAATGTGTATTGTTGATTTACAATCCGTGATAAGTATTTTATTCTGTTCTTTCATAGGTTTTTTTTCCTTTTTTTCCTTTTCTTATGTGAACCAATAAAAATAGAAAACTTGTTTAAACCAATAGAAATTCTACGAACGACAAGAAGAGAGTGAAAAAAAAATAAAAACGAAAGGAAATGATTATTCTCAATATGTAGACAAGAGGTCTCTTTTGTGTATGTGAAAAAAAAAGAGTGAGAACGAACAAGAAACACATATACACACGCACATATTTGTCTGTGTTGTGAGTGGAGTCGAACCTCTTCAATCGATCTCGAAAGCTTTCTGAGAGCCTCCTCAGAGCATCTCTCATCCTGTGCGGCCTCGTACGAATACGGTAAGTGGCCAATTCTTCATTTTTTTCTCTCTTCTCGTCTCGTTTTTATTCATACTCATACAAAATCATTTGATCATACTCAATAAATTCATCATCATGTTTCAGGAAAAACTATGTCATACAATTCTTCATCATCACCATCTCGATCAACACCACCACAAATACCTTCATCTCTTCCTATTCCAACAGAAAATTCTTCAGCAAATTATGATCCATTTTTTTCAACATTCGATCAAAATTCATTTGCAAGTCATTTTTCATCAACTGGTGTACCATATCCATTCTATTCTGCTGATGCTGCAACATCCTATTTTTCAAGTCAAGCAAGAACATATTCAGATTATCTTTGTCAACAAAATGAACAACCAACAAATACAAATACATCATCAACAACACCTATCACAAATTCATGGTATCAACCACCACATTGTAGTGATCCAAGATTTGCAAGTAAATATTTTTCAAGTTTGTTTTTTCATAAGAAATTTATTATTATTCTAGTGTCACGTTTATTAACTGGACAAACATCATCACAATATGATATGTATCAATCTGCTGCAGCCATGGTTGATCCACTGAAGTCAGCATATCATCCATTTGCATTTGTACCAAAACGTAAACGAAGAGTTTTATTTACTCAACAACAAGTTCTGGAACTTGAAAAACGTTTTGATAAAAGTCGTTATTTAAATGCACAAGATCGTGATCAATTAGCACATTCATTAAGTTTAACATCAACACAAGTTAAAATCTGGTTTCAAAATCATCGATATAAAACAAAAAAAGCATCGAAAGAAAAACCAGGAACGAATTGTAGTGATAGCGGTGATGAACAACAACAACATGAACAACAATCAACAAGTAGTAATAATAATCATCATCATCATCAAATGCAATCGAACATGTTTCATTCTCAAGTACCTCTAGCAGGACAAGCACATCAACGACTTCATCATGCTCATCATTTACATCATCATCCACCTCTTCATTTACTTAAACATGAACCACGATAATTAAAAATGAAATTTAAACCTAAAAAAAAACCTTATCCTATTTTCTTTCTTTTCTTTTTTTGTCGTGCAATTTTTCTTCTTATTGTGTTTATGGCCAAATTGTTTTTTTTTAGAAGACAAAGAAAATGAGCAAAAAAGAAAAAAAAAATCTTTAGTTGATTGAATATAATTAATTGTATTTGCATCCTAAATTCAATCATCTTCGTTGTCGTCATCCGAGACCGAACGAATATACTCTCAATGTCAGTTTGAAGTAGTGGACGCAGCTGGGTATAGGGACAATAAGTGGTTAAAATGTTGGCACAACGACTAAGTAACAGCCGAAGAAGAAGAAAAAAAGATGTCGACTCTCTTCACACACATCACATGTGTCAATATTTAGTATATATAGAAAAGACCTATCGAAATAAATCATAGAACACAATAAAGATTCTGACGTAATAGCTTGTTTCTCAATTGGGGGTGCTTGTGTTAGCACGTGTTAATCATAATTGATAATGCATTCATTTGCTTTGATGGCATTAAAATAGAAGCAGAAGAAGAAAAATTGTTTTATTTTTTTCTTTTCTTCGTCTTTCACTTTCTAATATTCACCTTTATTGCTTAAGGCAATCATTTTCAAAACGAAACAATGAAAGAATACGATGCCCGTAAGACAAAGAATCACTTAAAACACAATTCACCGAGTAAATTAAAGAAAGAAAAAAGTCAAACAACAATTAGTATGATATACTTTTTCTTTCTCTAATGGGGAGACACCTTATATATATATACTCAATCTATATATTGTTATCAGTATTTTTAAAAATATTGGTGTAGTTGTTCACAGTTTTTCTATACAAATTGATTATGCAAGTATATTCAAACATATACATATAATTTTGATATAAGCATTATTTGTTCGATGATCTGATTTATCTATGAGCCAATGTGTTATTTCATTAAAATGACAAGACAGTGATAATTGAAGCTAGTTAGATAGATTTTCTTATTCGTCGTTGTCGTCGTTATATAAGAAAAAAAAGCAATTGATTCAAGTATCTACTTGTTAAATATATTCGTTGTCCTATAGAGTGATGCAATTGTTATACACACGTGTCTTGTTCAATACTAAACCACTCGCGAAATAAACTCAACAGGACATCGAAATATAGAAAAGTGGTATCCAACAGATCAGACAAAACTGCATGGATGTTTTTATTTGATATAAACATACACAAAGAAAATGACAACCGTCTTTTGCAGTGTAATCAAAATGATTTTTTTTTATTCAACAATCTTCATCGATTGGATAATAAAATCTAAATTAAATACAATTTGTAATTAACGATTTTCTTCTTGCCTGTGGAATTTTCAAGTGGACGGGGTACTCGACAAAATAATGCGTGTGTGTGTGTTGAAGTCGGACGAGCCAGATGATAATTTCTTTTTTTTTCTTCTTCTATCATCTCATGATTGGCTAGTACTCTATCGGAAATTTCACTTCCGATCTATAAGATTCTGTTAGATGTATATATGACTTTTGCTCAATTACAAAACATTAGATCTTTTTTTATATATCGATAATAGAATAAAATTATTTAATTTATAATCAAGCTAATTTGTGTTTTCATGCTTAATATATAATGATGAAGTCACGTTTGTTTCGCTGACGTCATCATCAAATTATACGATGCATTGATTTTCTACAAAAAACTCTTGTCGACAATAATTAGACATAACGCATGTAGAAGTCAATAACAAGTTCTATGTATAAGATAAAAAAATCGCTTATCATTGATAAGAAGTTTGATTTGAGAAAAAATACTAAAAATGAATAAAAATATATTTTTTATTACGTTTCAATAATAACAAAATCTTCCAAAAGGAAGGAAAAAACAATCCTTTAAACTTCCGAAAATATAGAATAATTACTCTACTTCAGCATTACTAATATATTATTCCTTGTAAAATAGAAGTAGAGTGTATTTGATTCAAAACACAGGTAAGATAGGAATCTCTATTTCATATAAATATGAAAAAATCATGTCGCTTACCATCAACAGCTAAAAAAAAACTATTTCATATATAATTAAATAACGATGTGTTGGTATTGACAATTGAATTTTCTTAATTGATAAACGAGCCGCATTGAATATTAATCACACACAAGAAAAAAATGTACGCTTTCTTTGTCGTTCAGTTTCCTTTTTTTTTGATCGGAAATAAATCCTACCAATGATATTGATCAGATCTAACTATTCATTGAATATTGATTGGAAGAAAAAAAAAAGAACCGATGCTTTCCTCTTTTATGAATTTAATAATCCTTCTTGACGTCGAAAAAAACGCAACACCAGCCGAGAAAAGTACTTCTCATATTCATCATCATCATCATTGTAGAAGACACTTCTATTGCGTTGAGTACGTCAACTTCAAACAGCGAACTAGAACAGCTTTTTTTTTCTTCTTCTTCTTATTTTCTGTAATTTAAAAAAATAACATAACAACATATCATTATCATCTATATATTAGTTAAAGTATTGTTTGTTTTCTTGTGTAACATACCTATGTTAGTTATTCTTTTCGTCAGATTTATCGGAGTTACTTTTATGTAGTACTACTTGGGAAAACAAGGAAAAAACCGATTAATAATAATATAAAAGCTCATACTTTAACTCTCGACAATAGAAAAAGGCATATCCGTCGTTATTTTCTTTTTATCATCGATCATGAACTTCTCGTTATTCTACTGAATGAGCCACTCAGAAAAACTTCTTGTTCACTTTATTTGATATGGCTAAACAGGAACAAATTGATGGTCTTGCCTACTATACTAACAAGTATGTACTCCTGTTCGACTTACTTTCTTTTTTCAAAACTAATTTCATCAATAAGAAATATTTCACGATTACGTATTTCAAAATACTTGACAAAAGAACTTGATTTCTAATGAAATACGGATATGCGCTTATAAATACGACTTAGAATTCTGTGTTGAATCATATTGCGAAAAACGAAATAAATCCTTCTTGAATATCGATTTGATTCTAGTTTTCTGTTTATTTATCTGATACGTTTTATTTGTAGTCAAACAAAACGAAGTTTAACTCCATCAATAATACCTCCTTCTAGTAATCCGGGTACACCATTTAGTGTTACAGATATTCTTCATCCATTAGATGCTGATGTATCATCATCCTATAAACGTTCAATTGAAATGGCTCAAGCATTAGCTGTTGCATCTTCTTCATCAACATCATCCGTTTATTCTACTCAACGTTCATCAAATAATACAACATTTGCTCCATCATCCATACATAGTACTTATTATAGTCCATCATCAACTACAAATTTTCCACATAATAATCAATATTATGATTATAATACAACACTTCAAAATAGTGCTAATTCATCAACTGGACAATATTCATCAAGTTCATGTTGGTATGGATCAGCAGCAAGTATGTAGAATTTTATATATATATAGATATATCTGTTTTTCTGTCTCTAGTGTCACGATATTTAGTTGGATCAACATCAGCTATGGATAGTGCAGCATTAGCAGCAAGTGTTTATGGACATCAACAAGATCCAATGTTAAAATCAGCTTATGGACAATTTCCATTTGTATCACAAAAACGTAAACGACGTATATTATTTAATCAAGGACAAATCTATGAATTAGAACGACGTTTTAAACAACAAAAATATTTAAGTGCACCTGAACGTGAGAATCTTGCAAATATTCTTCAATTAACCCCAACACAAGTTGATTTATTTTTTTTTGAATAAAATTTTTTTCATTTTTCTTTCAATAGGTTAAAATTTGGTTTCAAAATCATCGATATAAAACAAAAAAACAAGCAAAAGAACGAGAAAAACTTGATGCAAAACAATTTCGAAAAGATCATTATCAGCAGCAACAACAACAACAACAACAATTTCGATAGACTAAAAGCGATTGATTTGCTTTTTCTTTATCGAATCTCTCGTGCAATATGCAGATATTTACTTAGCATCGATTGCAACAAGACATTTCTTTTTCTGCATGTATGTAACAGTGATGATAAAATAATTTCTGCTTTTCTTTAACAAAAATAAAAAATATGCGAGTAGCAATAAATACCAATAACGAAAATACATTATTACTTTGATTAATATACTTGTGAAACAATAATATTATAACTAACAAATTTAAATAGAGAAAAATATAACAGTATCGTTCTCTTTATTTGATTGATGAAAGCAAATATTTAATCCACATGGGCGATGCACATTTTTCTCTTTTTTTTTACACGTATAACGGTTAATAAAGTAAAATATTATGCTCATTTTCTTTTTTTTTTCTCTTCTTTTAATGTTGAGCTTGGTTCTATGCTACATACATTACTACTTAACCCTGAATGATTGATGCTTGCGTGTTAACGTAAATGCCTTCTCTTCTTTCTTTTTTTACAGTATAGCCAAGTCGTTGCCTGCAGACTTTTATTTCTTTTTCTCTTTTTTTATTGCTACTGTCAATTGAATCCATCAAGCAAACAGATAAATCATGAATTCTGTTATATATTTAGAATAATAATAAAAAAACAAAAAAATATGCAGAGTACATTTCGATATCCTGACGGTTCTGAATATACAGGTAGAGAAAAAAAACCGATTTATTTTAAAAGAAAAAGAAAATTTTTGTTTTCTCAAAGGTGAATGGAATAGTGATGGTGAACGACATGGATTCGGTCAATTCTCATTTTCTGATCAAGCTAAATATCGTGGTCAATTTGAACATGGTCTTTTTTCTGGACTTGGATGTATTACATATCCCGATGGTTCAAAGTATTAATAAACTGATTATTTGTCTTTATAATATTAATATTTTAGATATGATGGTGAACTTTCTCAAGGACGTTATAATGGTTTAGGTGTATTTATTCGTTGTGATGGTATGAAATATGAAGGACAATTACAAAATGGACTTATCTGTGGTTTAGGTTTGCTAACATTTGCTGATGGTTCTCATGGTTTACCAAGAAATGAAGGTTATTTTGAAAATAATAAATTAGTACGACATGAAAAATGTCCAGATATCATACGAAAAGCTATTATATGTGCAGAAAAAGCAAAAAATCAACAGCCTCCACAAGAAAATAGAAGCACCTGATTTTCTTCTATTTTGTGCAATATATTATCATTAAAATTCATTTGAATTGCAACTTTAATTTTTTATATGTAAATTTATGTAATAATAATGAAATATAAAAAATAAATATTCGAGTATCGCATTGCTCCCCGGTTTGCGAAACTAAAATTCCGCATCCAATTGCTTCAGGCTCAAATGATAATTGAATCATTTATTATAATCGAGAGTTTGACTCAAGCGTTTCTTTACCAGTCTGTTTAAAGTATGACTACTAATTCATGGGAATAACTTTTCAAAGATATAGTGATTGATATGTTTATTTAGATTATCAATCTAAATTTTTTCTTTTAGATTCTACAATTATTCATACTGATATTAATTCCTAAGCATTCATATATATTTCAAAGAGTGTAAATTATCTACATTAAATAAAAGCCACGTTAACTTTCTTTGTAGTATGAATACTTTGAATTAAGCGATGATTATATTTGTTTAGATTTTCATTCCTTAATAATTACAAAAACGTTATTTACTTGAAAATTTTACCTGATATTGTAAAAAAGAAATGGTTTCTAAGTTTCGATATACAGACTACTTTTTTGTAGTAAAATTAACATAGCAACCGTTCATGTAATAATAAAAAACTGACGTTCATTATTAACATTAAAGCATATATATATCATTGATGTTTTTGTTGCTACCAAACAAACGAACGAAACAAAAACGTTCTTTTTTTTGTTCCATTTCAAATAATTTTCATTATGAAAAAAAAAAACATAATCTATTAAACATCTTACTTTTTTCTTCTTATCATTTAAATAGCTATAACGACAAAGACTAACATTATTTTATTTATTCTGTGAATGTAATGCCAATGGTTTTTTGCTTTCTTCATTTTTCTTACTGTTCACACCTTTTTTTTTCTTCATTTTTTTTCTCTACATCAAACAATATTGAAAAAAAAAGTTTTCTTTTTTTCTTTTTTTATCCTTGTCTCTCTCTTATTCTTTCTTACGTCTCTTTCAAGCAAATAGTAAATTCGGCTATAAACATCGGTCGTCATAACAAAAAAGAAAAGAAATATGGCCTCTTTGATCAAACTATTTTTGACACTTGAACCATCTCTTCGTTTTTATCTACGTTCACAACGTATTGCTGAAGTTCATGAAGCTATTATATCATCATTAATTGTTTGTCAACCAAAAGATCCAATAGCATGGTTAATTAGTTGTCTTACTGAATACCATTCATTGCCATTATCAGACAAAGTTAATCTTAATTGGGATTATTTTATTCCTGAAGCTTATCGACCAGTTAATCGACCATTTAATCTTGAAAGTTCATTAAGTTATGTATTTGCTGTTTGTGATGATTCATTAGAACCAACAGAAGAACAAATTGGAATAGCTATTAGTCATTATAAATCACATATTCAAAAGAATCTTTTTTCAGCATGGCTTCGTTGTTATCTTATACGTTTAAGTGAAAGACGATGGTCAGAAAAAAAGAAACACGCTGCGGATGAATATTATCGTGCACGATATTTAAATATTTATTTTCGACAATGGTTACAATGGGGTTTGGATTCTTTTTATTTTTTGTTATATTTAATAATTTATTTGTATAGTTAAGGATCGTATTGAAAGACAAAAAGCAGCTGTATGCCATTTAAAACATTGTTCAGAAACTTATCAATTAAGGATAATTCTTGGTGAATGGAATGTTGTTGCTCAACAAGCACGTCGAACACGAGATTATTTTGATCGTATTGAAAGAGGTGAAGATAATCAACAAAATGGTTCTCTTGGTAAGTTTAAATTATTGAAAAAATTGTTTTTTTGTATTTAATTTCTATTGAAGGTCAAGGCGAAGCTCGTGATGAATTATCAATGCTTAATCGTGAAGCTGCTGTTCGTATTCTTGCATATTTAGATATAGCTGATTTAGCTCGATGTTCACAAGTATGTCGTAATTGGAAAATGTTAACACAATCATCAATGTTATGGGCTAAACTTGATTTACATCGAACTAATAAAGTACTTAGTGATCGACTTGCTATGCGTTTTATACAACGAGCTCGACCATTTCTACAACATCTTAATTTACGACAATGTTCTCGTATTGGTCGTTTAACATTTCTAGGTAAATTATCTTGTGTCTTTTACTTTTTATTTATAATTATCTTATAGGTATTAGTAGTTGTAAAAATTTACAGGATTTAAATTTAAGTGAATGTCCATCAGTCGATGATGAATCGATTAAAATAATAACTGGTGGTTGTCATATATTACTTTATTTAAATTTATCACATACATCAGTGACAAATCATTCATTTCGTCATCTTGCACGTCATTGTCATTTTCTACAATTTCTAAGTGTTGCATATTCACGTCAATTTTCTGATCGAGCTTTTGGTTATCTAGCAAATGGACGTGGTTGTCGTAAATTAACTCATTTAGATATTAGTGGATGTACACAATTAACACCAGTTGGATTCGATGCTATAGCTGATGCTTTTCGTGATCTTGAAGTATAAAAATTTTGGTTTATATTATATCTATAGTTTATGATTAATTTTAGATTTTAGTGATGGATGATATAAATAATTTATCTGATAAACATATGCATAACTTATGTAAACGAATGACACATTTAAAACAAATATCGATGTGGTCATCAGCACGACGTCTTTCTGGATATGCTTTTAGACAAATGACTTCACTGACAAAATTAACGACAGTTAAATTCGATTCAAATAAATTAATTACCGATGAAGTAAGATGTCTAAAGACTGTAGATTGTGACATATATTTTTTTTATAGCATCTTCGTTTAATATGTCGTTCATGTTCAGAAATATGTCATTTATCCATACCGGATTGTATATCTGTAACTGATATGTGTATGAAACATATTGGTACATTAAAACATTTACGTGTATTAAATGTTGCGGATTGTTTATTAATAAGTGATACTGGTATAAAATTTCTAACTGAAGGTGCATGTCAAAATCGTTTACGTGAATTAAATTTAACAAATTGTATGCGTATAAGTGATAGTTCAATAACGAATCTTTTACGACGATGTAAACGTTTAGCTTATTTAAAATTATGTTATTTAGATAAAATAACTGAAAATGGTTTAGAATTAATTGGACAAATGGAACAATTAATATTAATTGATTTAACTGGTACACAAACATCGGATACAACATTAAAAAATTTAGGATATTCTGGTCATTTACGTTCAGTTATATTATCATCATGTCGAAAAATAACTGATTTAGGTTTAACAAAATTTACAACAGCATGTCCAAATCTTGAACATTTAAATTTATCATTTTGTGCACAATTAAGTGATAATGCAATACGTTCTATGGCATTTTGTTGTAAATATTTAACAACATTAAATATATGTTCATGTTCATTATTAACCGATATGAGTTTACAATATTTAAGTGGTGTTTGTAAATATTTATATGAAATTGATATATCCTATTGTCAATTAATAACTGATAAAGGTTTAAAATGTTTAGGAGAAAATTCTGCTTATCTTAAACGTGTTATTGTTATTGAATGTCCAAATATATCACGTGCGGCGATTAGTCTTCTTTTACGTCGAGTACCTTATGTTCAATATCAATATATGGATATATAATTATATTAACTTTAATGAACAAGAATACGACATTTTATTCGTTTTTTTTTACAAATATTTTTTTCTATTGAACACATATATGTGAGAGGAATGTATTTTTCAGGAACGACTTTGATTTGATGATGATTAAATAGAATATAACAAGTATGATATTACTATCCAGGAAGAAAAAGCAAATACTGTATCGATTCTATTGATGATTGAAACTATACATCATTAATTTCTGCTGGTAGAATGAAAACCAGAACTAACATATTATAGTTTTCAAAATAGTCCAAATACTTCAGATGAAGTAAATCTTTTAACACAAATATTTGAAATAATAAAATCTATTGAACTTATTTCTAATGATTCTCTATAAGTGCCAGTTAAAAACATATCAAAGTTCTTTTTGATAATGTTCTTTTACCCCTTCAAACATTTTTTATTTCGACCTATGAAAAAGAAATATTACTAGACTATAATTCATTCAAGTAGGCGTAATTAGCGAAGGTTAATTTACTTTCTAGATAACGTCATAGTTGTACAAGAAAACCTAGAACATTCCGACGTCTTACCGATAATCGATTATCACCTATTAATATGTCTTAGTCCAAGAACATCTATACAATTCAATATGATATATATCTAACTACTTTTTTTCTGTTAATTCTTAGAAAAAGAAATAGACATGTAATTCACTGAAGATTTCTATAGAAAATGAGAGAAAAGAAAACTAAATAATATAGATAATACTTATTCATTATCTAACAAGTATTACAACGATATATCTCAGTAATAAGCAACATTAGATATTTTTTTCATATTTACAAAAATCAATTATGGGTATTCTGACTGGTCGAAGTGAGGGTATTAAATTATTAACATATTGTGATCTAGCATTCATTGGTACTTTAACAGATTATTCCAAAGGTTTGTTGCTTCTAAAAAATTTCTTCTATATATTAATTCATATTATGTATATATAGGTATGTCAACAAGATCATTACCACCAATAGTTCATTATACACTTGAATTCGACAAATATGAACAAATACGTGGTATACCTATTGAAAACGAAGAGCCACATTTTCATTATATGCAGACAGGCAGTGGTGGCCAAATATTAGATCCAAATACTCATAGATTAATTCCTGCACCTGAACCTAAACGTCCAAAAATCGATCAATTATATTTAGCATTACTTAATGATTCACGACAAATCAAACAACTTGTTGAAATTACAACAGATGATATTGATTTATTACGACAATTAGCATTACAAAATTAACTAAGAACCATATCATTTTTTTTTCTTCTTTTCCTCCTTTATTTTAATTGTTAACCCCTTTTAATTAATATTGACAAGAAATTTTTTTTATGTATTATTTTTGGTCAACAAAACAATTTGACTGACTAGTAGTTTGTAGAAAAGTACCACTAGTACAAAAAGATACAAGAAATTTAAGTAGAATTAATATAAAAATAAAACATAAAAGATTTCTCAATATTGACGAAAAATAATAATCACCGGTATGATTTACTCCAACATGATTTCTTAATGGAATAAAAACATATTCACATCGAGCTTTTCTACATGAATCACTGGCATTACGAGCACCTGGTGGACATGTAATTAATCGAGTTGGTAAACCACTATCATCATCTCGATTCATACACATCCAAATTTCTTCTAATTCACATTTTGAATTACAGTTAATAATTGCTGTTTGATTAAAAATAGTAAGCAGATAATCAAGACCAATTTTCTCACCAGCATAACGTTGAATATACTAAAAGAAAGATAATCATATAATACCAATTTAAAAATTATTTTTATCACAGTAAAAAGATGAATAAAATAACTGTTCAATTGATTCATTTGTTATTACATTTATCGATATATTATTAATTAAACTATTTCCAAACTAATCTTTAAAAAATGACTTTCTAGTGTTGTCAGTTAATTTCTATACAAATTGATGTAAATTTTACAGCAAGAGATTGGTGAGTTATATCGAAAAATTCTAAATAATATTAGACGTTTGATTTAAGTGGTGATTTCATGATTGAATAGTTTAACCGAATTCATTATATATTTAAAATCAAATACCTCATAAGTTAAACTGCCTGGTCGTGTGACCATATCGACTAAATCAAGCATATGAGTCAAATAATTCGAAATATTATGTCCAAATATTGAAGAGCAACATGAACCTGTGAAAATAATAATAATAAAAAGATCTGTATAATTTTAATTTATTTAAAAATGACATACCGTGTTTTGTCCATTCATGATTAATAAATAAATTTCTTTCACCTAAATATCCTGGTGCTAATATTTTTAAACGTTCTCGTTCAGGTTCAAGAATTTCAACAGGATCAATAAGACATTCTTGTACATTTTCTACTGATAAACAATATTCATAATCACCTTGAGTAAAATCATTTGACGTCATATTTTTCCATGGACATAAATTTCCATCAATATGACATTTTGACCAATCGGATTTTGTTGATGAACAAAATTGTGGCCAACCTTGATAATTTCCTTTAGTCGAAAATGTTGGCCAAAGACCATGTAATGCTAAACGTTCACTACCAGGTTGATCAATATCTGTATATGGCGAACAAAAATAACTTAATAAATCAATTGTTTCATTATATTTTGCTGGACAACTTGATGGTGGCCAATAAAGACTAAGACTATAGTAAGAAAATAGATCATCATCAGTACCAGTTAAACCACCGTTAAATTCAAATGGTGACTGTTGTTGAGCTGGTGGAGATGACTTACAAAAGCTATCACCTATAAAAAAAACCTTTTTATAGAAAAAAGAAAAAAAGAATATAGTTTAATGTACCTATTTTTACCTGACATCTTTTATTTGAATATCCACACAGACCAATTGTTTTATTAGTAAAATTACATAATGATTCAGTAGTTCCATTTAAACACCAAAAATCAGGTCCATCTAAACACTGAATATTTAAGCAATTTAATCGAGTTAAACAATATGCAATCCAGCAATATACAATAAATAATTGATGAAATAGTGTCATGAGTTTTGATGATTTTAAATAAAATACCACATATCGATGATCTTATGTTACTATAAGCACGGGAAAAAAAGCATATTGCTTAATGGCCTTCAAATTAGTTGACTCACCTTGAAACTGACGAACACAGTGGCAATAATAACAACAACAGAACAAGAAAAATAACTATACCAATCACTCATGCAATCTTTTTTTTTCATGTCACATGCATCTATTCATATACTATAGAACAGAACAGAGCAACTAATTTATTGATGACTCATATATATATTATATAGTGTTAGATATAGCGCCATCTCTGTAGAGAGTTTTGTGTAGACTTTTATCATCATAAATCCTCATCTCTTTGCTTATTACTACTACTATATTTTTCTATTTTTATCAATAGAAAAGAAATACAATCATAAAAATTAATGAGAAGAACTTTTTAAATATTTCATACTGTCTAATTTACAACAATGGGAAGATCCTATATTTTTCGATTGGATTACTAATCTTTTCTCAAATCATGTATTCTGTTCGTCATGTACAATAAAATAAAAATAGATATCATGACAATAATTACAATTTTAGATTACACGTGAATAATTTTGACTATTTTTAGTAACATGTATTCGGTGAATTAAATCATTTAGGATTGATTTTGTCTTTTGCTTCATAATAATTTTCAATCACCTATTTGAAGAAATAGAGATCATCTTATAGAATAAATATTTGCTAATAATGTGATATTAATTCATTTTGGATGTTGTGCAAAATGTATCTAATGGTAGATGAGCTCGTCTTCCGATCATTGATGATGATCTTACTGGCATCCATCGAAAACTTTCTTCATATGGAATCGAATGACGCATAGGATGAGGTTTAACCATTTGACTAGTACCAAAATGTTGTTGTAGATAAATATAATCTCCGTGAATAATTCGATCATATATCAATGGAAATTCACGCATTTTTTTATAATTAAAATAAGATAATGGTTCAAGTTTTTGAGAATTTTTCGAAGTTACAAATGATTGTGAACGTTGAGAAGACATTTCATTGAAAAGATCATCATAAGCATCATCAATATTACATAATGACCATTGATAATAGTCTGGAATGTATTCATTATCAACTGATGTTTCATTATGTTTTAATGATCGTTCAAGATTTTTTATAATAACTAGCTGATGATTGAGTTGTCGATGAGTGTTATTACATTTATTTTGCTTATAACATTCTTTCATTTGAAAGATGAAACAATAATTTTCGCGCGAATATAGAACTTTCTCGTCGAATAGTAAAATATCAAACCTCTGTATATTGTCGTATTACTAGCTTTAAAAATATTTATCAGATAAAAATAGTAACTCTGATAATTAGTTCAAGATATCCTGCATGCGTACGACTTTATATGATTTATCACAAAGTACAATACTTCTATCAAATTAATAATGATTACATCACATTTATTTCACAAAAAGAACAATTAAAATTGACAATTTTTTTTCCAATGAACAAATTGAACGTATTGGTTCATTATATATATTGAAGTACATTTATCTACAATTGAAAACGATTGATGACGTTTTTGATGATAATCATCTAGTCATATATGTATATATATATGTACATATTATATTATATAATCGTATAGATATTATCGAGCGAATTGTATTGTTCTTAATGATGAGATATGATTACTTTCATATGGATCGACATGAAGACAAATATTATCAGCAATCTTCGAGTTATTTTTCTTAGATAATAAATTATGATTAACTTTTGGATAAGATTGATAAGAAAGCAATTGACATTTTTCATTAGCATGACGACAACGTATAAAACAAATGCAACAAATAAATATCCAAAGTGTAATTACGATACCAAAACTAATAACAAATAAAACAATACTTTCTTCTGAATCAGCAAAATTTGTTGGAAATGAAAGTGCATGTAATGTAAAAGTTTTATGTCGAATAGGAGGAGATATTACTGTTCTAAAATAATCAAAAAAAAATTTTATTTTATATTCAAATCAAAAATCTATGTGATGTACTTATATGAACATTGATAAGAAACATCGACATGATTCGAATAAGAATGATGATTACAATGAAGTTGAATACGTTTAGCATGGAAACGACATGGAGATTGATGATTTTGACATTGATTATTATTTGATGTCGAATATAAATTTGAACAATATGCATTTGAATAATTTAATAATTGAAGTGTTAAATGATTTAAATTATATGGACATCGAATGTAATATGGTTCATCATTAGTTAATAAACGAATATGTCTTAGAAGAACAAATGATGAACTTTCTGGATTAGTTAAAAATTTTCCATGAATTTCATTGAGAATTAATATTAAGAAAACTAATATGGGTATCATTATATTATAGTTAAATGAGATAATATATGTGTATATATAAATATGTATGTATATATATGAAGAATATGGTAATATATCAAATGTTTCGGTCGATTTTTTGTTTGATTGAAGCGGAAAAAGAACAAGGAAGAGAAAGAAAAGAATACTTTCACTTGAATGACCTTTACTTTTTATATTATTCCTATGAACATATGAGTACATCATATATTAATGAATATAAGAAATAAGAAGCAATGAATTTAAAAGGTATATCTAGATAACTCGTGAATTATTGTTATAAGTGATGATTTGATAAAGAAAATCTGTAAATGTAAATTATATTGGATTTTAGTTATATCCTTAATACTCTCAATGAAACTCATCTATTCAATTAGTAGTATTGATGTTTAGCACACGCAATATATATCTTAGACAATGTTGAAGGTGATAGTATAATAATTAAAGAATATTTAATTTTTACTGTAAATTAGAATTCCGTGTAATTCAACTGATTCTAATCTTCACATTAGTTATATACATTGTCTTGTTTGATATGATAAACGGTTAGATAAAAAATCATTCTTAAGATATTTCTTTTTTTTACTGTTTCGAAATACTGATAAACATCAAGCTACTTCGTTTTTATCCTTGTCATTCATCAAAATACAGGTAGATAAATGATTTAACTGTCATGCTTTCTATGCAACTAACTCATCTCGTTATCTCTATTAAATATAAATATATATAAGTAACAACCACAATATCTTTTATTCTTTTTTTATCATTTCATTTTGTCCTTGTAAAGAGATGCGTGTTTTATTCGTTGCAATTGCCTGTTTGGTTGCATTTGAATGTATAAATGCATATCGGGGTCCATTTCGTAAGTTTTTTCCAACACGAAAACCATCCATTGTTACAGATAATGATGATCCGGGACAACCACTTTTTCTTACACCATATCTTGAACAAGGCAAAGTTGATGAAGCAAGAAAATTAAGGTATAATATCTTCATCTTTTTTCTCTCTCCTATATTATTTATTCATTTAGTTCTGTTGAATTAACACCATATACACGTCAATCATTTTCGGGTTATTTAACTGTTAATAAAACATGTAATTCTAATATGTTCTTTTGGTTTTTTCCTGCACAAAATGGTAATAAACCTGATACACCAGTAATGCTTTGGCTTCAAGGCGGTCCAGGTGCTTCATCACTTTTTGCACTTTTTACTGAAATAGGTCCTATTTATATTGATGCAAATGAAAATATTCAATTACGTAATGTAACATGGAATACAAATTATCATTTACTTTTCATTGATAATCCAGTTGGTACTGGCTATAGTTTTACATCAGACGATCAAGGTTATGCTCGTTCACAAGAAGATGTTGCACGTGATCTTTATTCAGCATTAACACAATTCTTTCAAATCTATACAGATTATGCATCAAATCCATTTTATGTAACAGGTGAAAGTTACGGTGGAAAATATGTACCATCAATTACATATAAAATTCATGTTGAAAATCAAAATCCTCAAGTCAAAGTTAAAATTAATTTGAAAGGTATGACCATTGGTGATGGTTTAACTGATCCAGTAAATCAATATATGTACGGTGATTTTCTTTATCAGGTATAATTATTATAAGAAATTTATAATTCGTAATACTTCTTTATTTTCTATAGATTGGTCTTATTGATATAACTCAAAAAGCTTATGTTGATTTACAAACAGCTCTGATGCGTTATGCTATTCAACAAGAACGATATATTGATGCTTTTCGTCTATTTGATTCACTTCTCAATGGTGATCTCCTCAATACTACATCATATTTTTATAATGTTACTGGTATTAAAAATTATTTCAATTATTTATTAACAGATGAACCAGAAGATCAAGGTTATTTTGTTCCATTTGTAACTCGTGCTGATCGACGAAAACAAATTCATGTTGGTAATTTATCTTATGGTAGTCAAAGTGAAATGGTCGAAAAAATGTTACTTAATGATGTGGTAAGAAAGAATCTAGAAAGGAACATAGTTTGAAATTTTGATAACGTATACGAGTTGAAATCTTCTGAATTTAAAGGGGATATCGTTTTTATTGGTTTCTAATTTCAATACTAACATGCTACTTGTACCTTTGAAAGAATTTTAAGTCATAATTTAATTGTTTTTTTTTTGATATTCCTAGATGCAAAGTATGGCATGGAAAGTTGCTGCTATCGCTAATGCTAATTATAGTGTATTGATATACAATGGTCAATTAGATATTATTATAGCTGTACCATTAACAATGGAATGGGTTGGTCAATTATCATGGACTGGTACCGATGAACTTCGAGAAGCAGAACGAAAAGTTTGGAAAGTAACTGATAGTGATCCAGAAATAGCTGGTTATATTAAAACAGCCAATAACAATCGATTCTTTCTTGCTACAGTTCGTAATGCTGGTCATATGGTTCCATATGATCAACCACGAGTTATGCTCGATTTACTTCAACGATTTTTAGCAGCTCAACCAAAATAAATCAATAAAGAATGAACACATTTTATTAATATACTTTTTTTTTAATATATTATTTTACATTCATTAATTATGTTGAAGAGAATTTTAATAATAAGAATAAAGATTTTAGGTATATCAATGTTTAAAAACAGAGAGACTAGAAAACAAACAGTAATATAGATTTTAGAAAATATTATTAAGATTTTCTTGATCATTATCATAGATACTATTATTGAACGATGGAGATAATTGAATAGTTGCTATATCAAATGATTCTTCTATAAATTTATGAATCATTTCATATAGATATTTATATTGAGTCTAAAGAAGAAGAAAAAGAAATATAAATAGAATTATAAAATAAATAAATATCGAATCATACAAGTGATGTAATCATAGCAGGTCTTTGTCGTTGTATTGCGCGAACACATTGAAAAATATCGATTGTATGTTCATTTTTAAGTTGATCCAGTAATATAACACTCATACAAAATATTGAACAAGATGGACCACCATTACTAAAAATATATTAGATTCAGTAAAAAAAAGCATAAAAGAAAATTTCAGAAATCAGGGATTATTTTTCGAAGCTATTCAAAGTCTTGACAGTAGAACAATTATTCTGTGACTATTCTTAAGTCAGAGTAACTGAAATATGAATATAGGCACACATTCTAAAATGCTAAACCTTATGAAGCTTTTTATATTTCTCGGAACTGGTTGCACGACTGAAATAGTTTCTATTGTTTTATGATATGGGATACGGTCAATGGATGGAAGAAGTATAACTTTCAAAGATAGTATTTCGTCTAATTTTTGTTTATTGAATTATTCAATTTATTGGACTATATTGTATTTGATTGGAATAGAGCGACATCCAAAGCAAGAATAATTTGAAATATATTATTTTTGAAAGTTATACTTCTTCCAATCAATTGGTCGTATTGTATATCAGAAAATAATTTTATAGGATACAGTTTGTAGAGAAATCTTTATGTTAAAAAAAAACTTATTTCTTTCTCTACTGAATAGTAAGAATACATATATGCAAATTACTGAATGGTCCATCCGTTACGTATATAGGATGATTAATCGATTTCAGTTAAGTTGAGAACTGAGGGAGTACGAAAATCTTCTTAGATATAGTTATACTTCATAATAAATGTAAAATACTATTGATTATTTAATCAAATATCTTCAGTACTAAGAAATACCATCAATTATTCGAACGTTTTAGTCAAAATAAATAGACTTCATACCCGCAATGAACAGTAATATATCGAGTTTGATTACTTATATTTGATTGTTTATTAATATAACCAATAAAATCAAATAAGCTATGTGTTAATGTCGATGGAATACAACTTTGTCCATTTTCATATTCATCATTAGTACTTATAGGAAGAAGATATTCATAATGATAAATTATTTTTGATAAAGTTTCACGTGTATCTGCTAAACAAAATTGTCGAACAATAAATTTCTCTTGTATGATTTCTTTTCCTATTAATTTTAATAAACTAGTTGAACTAATTTTCATTGTTGTATCTATATCATTTGGATAATAAATTGCACATTTTGGAGAAGACTAAATTTCTGACATAGTATTGCAAAAATTCAACTAAATTTTTATCTTACTTCAATAATTGTATGTAATTGTACAATACAATTACAATCATGTTCAATAAACATTCTCCAAAATTCATGAATTGTTTCTGGTAATGGATCTTGTGTTATTATAAATGAATATTCATTTGAATATCCCTATTAATGATTATATTTGAATAAATATTTCAATTGAAAAATTCGAATCTTACTTCGATAAATGATGCATTGATATACGGATGTCCTAATATACTACTTAAACAAACACGATTATGATCATCTATATATTATAAAAAAAAATATTTTTATTTTATAGATTTTTGAAAAAAAAAGAAATTTTACATGGAACAATTTGAGAACATCGATTTTTATCGATATTATCTGGTAAATGAGCATCATGATGAAATACATGTTCAATTGGTAATAATGAGAGTTTCTAAAAAACAAATAATTGAATTCAGTCGTAACTAAAATCTATCTGGTAGAATTCTTGGAAATCCTTCATTTTCAACTTACATTATATTCCGAAATTAATAAAGCTTGTTTATTCTTTCTTAAATTTGAATATATAGATTGAAACATATTTGCTTCAATTCTTGTATTACCATAAATATAATATTCAAGTAAAGATCGATAAATAAATACGTATTGTTTCTATTAAAATGTAAAAAAAAGATTATTTCTTTGCTTTTTTTAATAAATACAACATACTATTGTTTGTACCATTAGATGACGTTCACGACGCATTTGTAATATAAAATTATATACATCAACTTTTTTTTCTTGGTTAATCTTATCAATCATTGCATCAATTGCAATATAAGTACCTGTACGACCAACTCCAGCTCTAATATAAAAATAGAATTATATATTTTTATTTCCTTTGTTTTTCTTACGTGCAATGAACAACAATTGGATATTGATCAGAATTTGTTTGTTCATTTACTTCATGTATTAAATGAAGTAATGTATGTGAATTATTTGGAACATCCATATCTTTCCATTGTGTATAATGATATTGAACAACAAAATGAGATTGTTGTTGCGGTTCATTGTTTATTGAATTAAATGATAAAATATCATCTGTTGGTAATGATGACGATGATAAAAATTCTTCGTCATTGCTTATCTTATATAAGACGAAAAAAAGAAAAGAATTATTTTATAGTTTATCATTCTAGATAATAATGATGTTGCAACAGGGTTCTCTTATTCTTCTATTAATAGTTTTTTTTACTGGACATATTCAAGGACAATTTCATCGTTTTTCATATCCACATGGGAAACAAAGTCATCTTAAAACGAATGATGATCCTGGTGAACCTTTATTTCTCACACCCTATCTTGAACAGGGTAAAATTGAAGAAGCAAGAAAATTAAGGTAAAATATCTTCATCTATTTTCCCCTTATATTATTTACTTATTTATTTTTAGTTCTGTTGAACTGCCTCCGTATACACGTCAATCGTTTTCGGGTTATTTAACTGTTAATAAAACATGTAATTCTAATATGTTCTTTTGGTTTTTTCCTGCACAAAATGGTAATAGAAGTGCTCCTGTTCTTCTTTGGTTACAAGGTGGTCCCGGTGCAACATCACTTTTTGGTTTATTCAATGAACATGGTCCTATACAAGTTAATAACGATGGAAGTCTATCTGAACGTCCAATAACATGGAATTCTTTATATAGTCTTTTATATATTGATAATCCAGTTGGTACTGGTTATAGTTTTACATCGAATGATGAAGGTTATACTCGTTCACAAGATGATGTTGCACGTGATCTTTATTCAGCATTAACACAATTCTTTCAAATCTATACAGATTATGCATCAAATCCATTCTATGTAACAGGCGAAAGTTATGCTGGGAAATATGTACCATCGATAGGATATAAAATTCATGTTGAAAATCAAAATCCTGAAGTCAAAGTTAAAATTAATCTAGCTGGTCTTTCAATGGGAAATGGATGGACAGATCCATATAGACAATATGTTTATGGACCGTTACTTTATCAGGTATGAAAATAAGTATACGCTATGTATATCTACTAAATGAAAACGTTTTACTATCGAGTATAATATAAATTCTATTCAAATTTTAGATTGGTTTAATTGATGATAATCAACTATTTTATATCAATCTTCAATCGGATTTAATTCGTTACGCAATTAGTCAAAAACGTTTTACTGATGCATTTACTCTATCAGATTCTCTAATCGATGGTGATCTTATAAATACAACATCGTATTTTACAAATGTTACAGGTTTACGTGCTTATTTTAATTATATTCAAACAGGTGAACCTTCATCTTTCTCAAATTATGTTCCATTTATAACAAATGTTGATCGTCGTCGACAAATTCATGTTGGAAATTTAACTTTTCATGATGATAATAAAGTTGAAACATATCTTATGAATGATGTTTTTCAAAGTATACCATTCGAACAATTAACAACACTTTTTGATAATTATAAAATCCTTATTTATAATGGTTTATTAGATATCATTTGTGCTGAAAGTTTAACATTAAATTGGATTAAAGATTTAGAATGGAGTCATTCACAAGAATATAAAAATGCTAGTCGACAAATATGGAAAGTAAACTCAGCAGATAATCAAATCGCTGGATATATTAAAGTGGTAAATAGATTTATGTTAGCATCCGTTCGAAATGCTGGACATATGGTCCCAACTGATCAACCAAGAGCTATGTTAGATTTATTAAATCGTTTTCTTCAACTTACTTTTGTTAATTGAAAATAACGTTTTTTATAATTACATAAACATTGTGTATCAATACATGTAATTTGATACGATCCAAAAATAATTGTTTCATTGAGTTCAGGCCAATACTTATGACATTTGGTCTTTAAATAAAAAAAATAATAATAATAAAAAAAATTCAAAGATAAAAGAAAAATTTACCATTCGTGATGCACCTTCAATAGTATTTGTTAACATAACTATAGATTTAAGTTTAAGTTCCCATATCATACGCCAAAAATCTTCGCATGTATCAGGTTTAGGACCTAGATAAATATATGAATCGCTAACTTTTTCTTTTTGTTGAAATATAGATATTACCTTGTGTCGCAATAAATTTCTTTGAACAATTATATCCCTAGATGTACGACAATTAAAAAAAATGTTTCTTCAAAAATATTAACTAACTGAAACATAATTTCCATTGATATAATCTGTAGCTGGATCATTATTTAATATATTGAGTATAACACGAGTAGTATCAATAGGTAAAATATTAAGAAAACGATTTTTTGAAGCAACAATTGTTCGAGTCGCTGATGTACATGTTAATTCATCAAAAGTTGGAATACTCTAAATATATAAAATATTGTATAATGAGAAATTAATACTTAATTGAGTCAATAAACCTAAGTTTTGAGATATTGAAGGAAAAGGAGGATGCGTAGATTTACTAATACTAACGAATGGATGTAAATTCTCTATTACGTACTTTTGTGACTTATACTGTTTTTAACAGATATCGTTAGAATATATTAAAGATTTTATTCAACTTACTTTGAATTCAATAGCAAATGCTAAATCATCAAATGCATGCTTTTGCATATAAATATCATACAATTGATCAACAGAAAATTCCTCCGTTGCTGTAACTTTACCTATAATATAAAGAATCATTTTATTTATATCGCAATAAAACCTACTGTGATTATCGTTTATTAAATTATCTTTCGATTGTCGACGACCTTTTGATGATACTGAATAATATGCTTTTCTTGGTTTTGAATAGGATTTTAATCGATGATTCTGAGTAGTAGCTAATGTTGTTACAGTAGATGAAGATTGCTGACTACCCATCTCTTTCTCAATCTCACTTTCTCTCAAAATTTTGATCTTTTTGGTGCTCAAATAAAAGAAAAGTATATCACCTCAGTCAGTATATAAATTCAATCCCGACATAAACTAATCCTTTTGATGCTTACTATGAATCGATGAATAGGATAATGGCGTACTCTCACGAGATTGTTTTGTTGTTGATAATGAATGTATACAAGGTAATTTGAAATAAGTATGATGAAAATGTTCTCTATAAATAGACAAAAATAGTTTCTTTTTTCCGATTATTATTTTTTTGTTTGATCTTACCTTAGAAAAAATGTAAAAATAAATGAAAGAAGAAGTAAACTACACAAACAGCAAATAAATATAATAGCTATTACAGTAGTATTTGAAGATGCGCTTATATCAATTGTTGGTAATGGTGGTGAGTTTAAAAAATAATTATCTGGCATATAAAGAATTTTTTTATCTATAAATTTCGTGGACGAAGATTTTAATGCTATATTTTTTGTTTTTGATGTGGATTTTAATCGAACAGGAAGTGGCGAAGGCAATGTTGATGTTGCTCGCCGTGTAGTGTCTTAAACGATAGAAATATTTCATTTTAAGGATTGATATTTTATTTGTTAATTTCAATCAGTTTATTATTACTCGATTTTTAATGTAAAAAGAATATATTAAATTTCTATTTATGTATCAATAGGATTAAATGATCTTTTAGTAGTATGAACTCTAATATCTTTATCCTTCACATTTCTATAGAATAATCAAATGAAATTTACTTGTTATCAATAATGTTCGATTGTTTTTTAAAGAACCTTGTCGATGTGCAATTAATTTTTTAAGTATTTCAATTGAATTTGATTTTTTCCATATATGTAAACTTGGTGTTCGAGTAGTAAAAGATTTGTTTGATATTGAACGATTATAGAATGTAATTGTTGAATTATTTGAAATTCCGGTTGTTATATTCATTGAAATGAATAAAATAATAAGAAAAATAAACATGGATATACTATTATCATTCATAGAATTTCTTGTGGATAGAAGAATGTACATCTAGAAAGAGTATTGTATGAAATAGAAGTAAGCTTTCTATAACGATATAATATATAATAGGACATAAAATAAGAACTATACGCATAAAACGAAGACCAATAAATTGATCGTTCACACACCTTCCTTATACATAGTGAATTTATATTGCAATTACGTCATCATATCTCTTCGAATGTATCAATTAGGACTCAGTAGTTTGGGTGTACGCTTTCTTTTTTTCCCTCTCTCTCTCCCTCGTACATATACATGTATCTTTTGCTTACTGACCGATAAATGCACACACTTTGTCTTTCTATTTCTACTAGATAATGGTAAGGGATGATTAGTGTCAATACTATGATGGGAATAAAATAATTTGAGCTACGATAGACGAGAGAACAACAGATCATTCTCTTTTTCTCTTCCTTGATCTATCGGTCATACAATTAGCATAAATGACATATCGAGGTCAACTTAAATCAAGAAGAAAAAAGACGTTGAATGATCTATTTCTATAGACAAACTCTAGACAAAAAAAGAAATTTTCAATTTCATTCAATGTAGACAATAAGATCAATTGCCTATGAGTGAAGTGATACACACCCCAAAATACACACATATATATATCGACGATTAATTATTGTTTGTATCAATGATGTATGATATATTTAACTAAGTAGTATATACGATTTATTATAATAAGTGAATAGTACTTTATCATGACACATTTTCATATCAATTTCAATAATTAAAACTGACAATCGAACTTATTCAATATACTTATATCTTTTTGAAATTGAAGTGGCTGTTTATACATTACATCATTATCATCATCAAAGCAGAGCGAATTCGAAGATATGATCTTTTCAGCATTGAACAAAATTATAATTGGAATACTGAATAGAGTTGAATAAGTATTGATAAAAATCAAGAAAAGATAAATATGATAATCATCTCTATTTTTATCTATTAGTAAAACTTGATGGTTTAAAGTTATCTGTTCGAATTGATTCATAAGATTTCAAGAAACCGACTATAGCTAGGTCTTCTGTATTCATCTGAATTGAAATTTTTTCCTATTCTATAATTATATTATGGAGAAATCTTCATCGTAATTATAATTAAGTTTGGTTCGGTTCAACATTATGTTAACAGCCATAGTTCATACATATGAACCAATACTACGGTACTTTAAGTTTAAATTTTTCTTTTAAATATAAGGTTAAATGACGATATACCAATTAATTCATTGACATTATTTATCAAATTTTTGTCATACTTTTTCAATATTTACTTCACAGACAATTTTTTTGTCAATGAGTGATAGTTAAGAAAATTGTACTGATGACGTTGTGCAGTAATCCAAACAATGAGAAAAAGTTATGATCTATTATGTGAACAAATTCATAATGAAGAAAAAAAAATATATAAGTGTCCATTTATGATTTTTATGTTCGACGTATTGCATGATCAAAATCAATACTATGTCAAGCAATCATTTACAATTAATATTAATAAGAAATCTTTAAGAATATTTTATATGATTAAAAAACGAGTTAAAATATAAAAAAAAGTATCGTGATTATCGAAATATAAAAATATATTGTATCACCGGCAGATGAGTCCTTCAGCATCAATCATCATCATCATAGTTATTATCATCCTCTTCATGTGGAATATTAAATTGAATATAATGTTCACGTTTTAATAAATGATTAAATTCTATATAAAGTTGATCATTAGTTGTTTCACGAATATAACCTTGTTCTATCATAAGTTGACGAATATTCTGTAGAAAGCGGATTAATACAGTGAAATAAAAGAAAAAAATATTTTATTCTTACTGCTTTCGTTGCGGAAAGTTCTAAATCAACACAACTTAATGGCCAAAAGTCATTGGATGACTTCAGATAAAATTTAACATCAACAAATTTGTCTAATACAAGTTCTTTAAAAAAAATTTTAGCTTCTTGGCTATACAATATGCCTTTTTTAGGTAGAGTCTAAAATGCAAATGATAAATTAATTTCAATATATAAATCATTAAAATTTATTTACATTAGTCAATGAACATGCAATAGCTTGAGCTGTTAAAAGAGTGAAGTCTGGTAGAAGAAGATGAAGATCATGTTCAGAAACTGTATCCCAATTACCAAAATCAACAAATACAACGTGGTATTCAGCAGGATTTTTAGTCTCTAAAAATATATGTCGAGTTGAATTATATATTAATTTATGATTGGTTTTACCATCAATTTCTATAATTCTAGAACGATAAAATCTATTATCTTTGAACTTAGCAATACAATAATCGCCACTTTTCCATTTTAACGGATTTTTCTGCGAATTTTTTGAATAGAAATCGCTAATAAAAAAGAAGTCATGAGATGAATAAAATCATGTATATAACTTACTTGATTTCCTTATCTAATTCCTCAAATCTATCACTCGAATGAGCTAATTGAATGAAAAATGCTGATGGATGCTCGACATGTGAAACATATGCTTGCTCGTAACGTCGGCTGCCCCAAGTAGTTGTGCGACGAATACATACTTAAAACACAGAAATATAAATAACAATATATATAAATAGATAAAACTAATAATTCATATTAAAATATGAAGTCGAATGGAATGTTTCTATTATAGTATATCTCAAGGTATACTGAAAGAAAAAATGAATTATACATTGATATCTTTGCTATCACATACTATACATATTAAATAAATATTCGTATCATCGACTATGAGAAAATCGTAACTGTTCTATTAGTTTTTACATGCTACAATCAATCATTAAAAATCATTGTTGATAAAACTTTATGGTTCGAAGAAAGAATTCTAATCTGTACTTCTATGAATCTTCATACAGAAAATACAAATTTCAGATATTATAATTCTGTTTCGAGATCATATTTGAATTACCTGATTTATCATCTTGATACTTTGCACCTCTCGTATCATAGCTATCATCGAGTGGTGTATCTCTTGATAATGATGATGAAGCTCCATTGGTTGTTATACTTCCAGTTGTTGATGCTCGTTCAGAAATAGTCATTGATGCTCGACCAGAATCAGCAGTTGGTACTCGAGAACCATCACCTAGCAGCTGTCGACTAGAATCGTTCTTCGGTTCGAGATGTCGTGTGGAACGACGAGACGAATCCATATATAATTTTTATCTATAACATATTATTATATGATTTTCTTATACGAGTGATCTAACTAGTTTTGTTCGCATAATTTATCCGGTAGAAACTTATTCTAATTTAGTTTCGATCATTATATTTATTCTTATAATAATAAAATAAAAATAGGGGCATAAGAATCGAATTTTGGATTAATAGAGAAAGAAGATAAACTGATTAGCCAGTATAATTATATTTAATATATATTTTAAAACTACTGACATTTATTAGGAGCATTGACAGTCAAGACAAATATGTGCTCTTATGTTGAGTAAAGAAGCTCTGAAATAATACATATTTTATCTAAAATAGAATCAATTAAAATTTTAGTTCATATTATATTATAATAAATTCAAAATCATTTTCTATTATTTGTTTCAAAATAATAAATGATACCACACAAAAAAATGCTATATTTTACGAAACTACTTCTGCAAATTTTTTTGTTACAGTTCAAATGACATCATATTACGAAGGAAACAGACAAGGTCCCATTCAGCTCTTCTACTGAGTTTTTTTTTCTCCAGCTAATTGATTCCATATTTGTTGAACAGCTTGTTGAATATTAATTATTCTTATTAACGAATGGAACAATCTAGAATATAATAAAAACAATTAAAATTTAGATGTAATAGGCAATATAACATTCTTCTAAGGATATTACATATTACATATTAAAAAATTTATTAAAAGCTAAAAATTTACGATAATATACCAAAAGATATAATCACGAAACTAAAGAGGATTTTATGGATTTGAAAGTACTTTTGTGTGTAAGACAAAGTCTTTTTGATGTGTTTCGGGTTCTTATGAAATCTTCTTTCAGAATTTGGATTTTACTGAAAGAATGTTTTGGTATTGTATCTAAGTTTATTTTGCGTAGACGATTAATCTTTATGAGAAACTTACCATACGTATTATGTGAAATTAATTGAATAAAGATCGATGATGTATGGTGATTACGAAAGACAATAACATTGTTGTACTAATATTACGTTTGACTCGATGATTCGTATCGGGCAATTCCTAAAAGTAAAAGATAACATTATTATTTATTAGTGAATACCACTATTGATTAGATCTTAAATAAAGAGAAAACAAACAATGTATATAAGTTGATGAATTTTTTTATATTTGAAAGAAGAAATAAAAATAAACTGTAATACAAAAACTATCGATGTGAAAAGCATTCAATAAATTAGGATTGAATAAGTATAGTATTATTTTACCAGCATTTTTCAGTTCTCACGATCTCTCAAGATGATCATTCCGATCATCGAAAACGGCCTGAAACGATTATAAAATGGTGTATTACTGCATTAATTCTCACCGTATTTTGCTGCAATCCGTCATTCTGAAAAAGAAGCTGTTCTTTTTGCTAGAAAACAACCACCGCTTCTCACTATCTTTACCACTTACTGGAATGCCCGCATTACGATGCCGTTGTTTTTGACCTCGGCTACTTAAAATTTACAAACATGGTTGTTTTTGTATTTGAAGCATCTATAAAAACTACAATAATGATTCATAGCAAGAAAAGAAAACGTCACTCTAAGAAAAGCTATTGACGACTCATGTGTAAGCCAATGAAAAGCAACATACCGTATGGCGTAGTTAATTATGCAATATTGTTATACCAAGTATATTGATTGTATTGTTAGTTGTATACAATAAATCATTACCATATTGATGCGCTGCATTCTAAAACATTGCATGGGTGCCGATTTGAATGGATTAAAATTGTTTATGTTGAAATAAACTGAATATCATTCAAAAAAACATTATTGTATTGAATTTTATCTTCCAGGACGATGAATCGGGCTATCGGATCTTACATGATTTGATCAGATTTGGTATTCAATGTAACTATTTAAATGAAAGAATGACATGACATTCCTAATTACAGACTATTGAGTATGTAGAAATACCTTTGAATTAAGTTCATTTGATTGTATTGAGTTCTGTTGTGTCCAAATCATTAATGGAACAGAATCGTTTGTGTAATGACCGTTCATATATTATTTTATAGTTGAAGATATTTATTTAATCTACAAATGATAGAAAAGAGAGTTCAATAAAACAAAATTATGATTCATAATGAATTCTAGATGTAATTGCTATTTATCTAAATATATTAAAGAATATCATTCACAGAAATATCCATCATTTGTATATAACAGAGACCATAAAAGTTTTTTCCCAGCTGCGATTATATTATATTTAATCTACGCCTGTCAAAAATAAAAAACTCATTGATCCATTAATCTCACCAATAATAACATTTAGTAATATAAATTCTTACAAATGATTAATTTCATGTTAAAAAAAATGGCTGTTACTGCTTATCAGCATTCATAACGGGTGCAGATTCTATGGTTTTAATCAAGGAGCGACTATTTGACTTTTTTTTGACACATTAACTGTAGATGACACTATATATCAATTGCAAGTTTTATACCTTTTTCAAATATTGTACTGAGTAGTTATGAAAAAAAGAAATCTTTTCATTTATCTTTTAAAATGGTATCCAATAGGCATTGCATTTTATTCTTAAATGTTCTGTAAGCACAATGACTACGAACATTTGACTGAAATCATGGACTCTAGAATCAAGAAGTGCATGAAAAATTTATCATACAATGGATAAATCATTAGTATAATTAAGATAAAATGTATATCAAAATTTTGGATAATCTTGGACATAAATAGTTTCTGTATAATCTACTTGTAGGTGCTTGGTGTGATACATTCTGTTCTGTTATATAAACGATATAGATATTTCTAATTACAATGACATGTTATTTTTCAAAAAATATATGGCTTTGTTTATTTCTTCTAAACAAAAAAAAATAAGTACATCTGCAAGAACATGGACAAAAAAAAAGAAACTCATTGCACTGATACATGCTATCTGGATTACCAGTTTGGTATGCATGAGATCACAAAAATATCACCTTGTCGTTTATAATACATAAAATGAAAAGAAAAGAAAAGAAAAAGAAAACGCCTGAGTATTTTAAGTTAATAAATTTTCGTTTGTTGAATTGATTATGGAAGACCTAAAAAGAATCGTACTGTTAATTGTTTTTTTTTGATTAAAAACGTACTATTGTTATAAATATCCGAATCAACAACTGCTACATTATACAAAATATATTCCATTGGTGTTAATTTATCATTAAAATGTAATGCAATTTGTTCATTTCGAGCTGATGTTATATATGATGCTAATTTTGGATGTTGAGCGATAGACTAAAATAGATAGAGTAAAAGGTTTACTGTATAAAATAATTAAATTCAATGCTTACTTGACCATCGAGCATCACTTTAACAAAATGAAGTGGCCTAAAAGGAAATTAAATCTAGAGATGATTAAAAGGCAATTAAAACTATTACCATTGTTGGCCAATGCCTTGTTGGAAATGAATTTCTACAATACGATTTTTAACAATCATATTAAATACATCTGTTGCTTCTTGTGTCCAGAAATTATCATTACTTGGAAATGCCTAGAAAAAAAATAATTATATTAAATAAAAATTTTTCGCAAGAAAATCTTACTTCATTTAATGTACAAGCAACTGTCATAGCTGGTAAACGTGCTAATGGTTCAATTAATGGATAAATTTCATTTGGTGGTTTCGATTCTGAATTGCCATAATCAATGAAAACAATAAGTACAGATGCATCTAAAATTAAATTAAAGGTTCTTCTTCTTCTTCTTAAATTCTTCTTTTTAAATACATACTATTATTCAAAACAACGCGAGCTCGATACCATAAATGATCTTCACTAAATCGAGCTACACAAAAATCACCAATAGATATATTCTGTAATGGTACAGTTGTATTTGATGGTTTACTATAATGATTACTAAAAATAAATCAGAGAAAATAAAACTATTGAATTAAAATTAAGTTTTTTTTCTACTTCATTTCAATAGACATCATATTAAATTGTTCAGCAACACGTGGATCTTGATTAGATCCAAAAAATGCTGATGGATGATCAACAATAGGAATATCAGCATTACGCCAAATAGTACCAGCTGGAATAACTTGCATTTTAACTCGAATTTTGTTATCAATTACATTCGATTCATTCACTAATGTAGCTAAAATAAAATAGAACAGATTAAAATGAGAATATCATTTTTATAGACTCACATGAATATGAATCAGATGGATTCGAAATTTGTTGTTGATGACCATTCATAGATCCATTTGTAACAACTTTTGTTGATGATACTGATAACGATTGATATTGTGGTGTATGTGAAATAATTGGATTTTGCGGAGATAATTTTGTTTGATGAGGACCGATATTATCTTGAACAGATAATGGTCGATGAAAGGCAGATTGTTGTTGTTGTTGTTGTTGTTGTTGCTGTTGTTGTCCTACTGGTGTTTTTAATGGAACGGTTTCACTAAATAATGTTGATGTATTTCTTGCTGTAAATGTATTTGTTGATAAATTTGTAGCAACACTTAATGAGCGTGGTGCAGTTGGAAGTATATCTTTTTGTAAACGAACACCATTGCTTATCGGTTCATTTTTAGACATTGATGCATTAGTTGAAATTGTATGTACTGATGAATTATTAACTAAAGGTGTTGACGGACATACCGGAACATGTACTTGACGTTTATCATTATTATTACTTGGTACTACATTAGTAATGGAAGAATGAAGATTATGTAATGATTCTGTTTGTAATTCTACAGTTGCAAGTTTTTCAGCAACATTTAATAAAACTTTATTACATTTAATAGCTTTCTGAGCTATTATAGGAGATATATTTGAATCTAATTCAATTGAACTTCGTTTATTAACCCATGTTTGTTTAACTTCATCGACATAGGATGCTACTTGAATCAAACGATTATTAAGACGATCACATAGAAAAACAAGATTTTCGATATCGTCGAGTAGTTCAATAGTATTTAAATCATTCGTCGAGGACATATCTAAAATAAAATAAATTCTTTCACAATCAATTGTTACTATAATTAAGATTCACTAAAAAACCCAACCAAAATTATATACCAAGTTCTATTTTATTGTTCAATCCATTTTCAACAGCAAATCTTTGAAATCAACTTTTAGTACAATTAAAAACGCGCCTAAACATATCGCAAACTTTGATTATATTAACAAATAATTTCTGATTAAATATATTGTTATTATTTTATACAATTAGTTTTATTATCTTTGTTTGCATTTTGTATTAGCAAAAATAAAAAACCTGATAGCAGAGAGAAAAACATACGAATCGAAAAACGATGGATTTTATGAATGTATGTCATAAATTCTAAAGCGTCCGCTGAGAATAAAGTAATATATTCGATCTTTTCATTAGTTTTAAACTCATCCCTATACTACCAAGTCGTTAGATTATTCATGATATCATAATAATTTATCTAAATATTATATTAAAATTCTATAATATAACATTTGTCATTGTCAATTGTTATATAATCGACTTATTTCACATTATTAATCATTTTGAATATCTTAACAATAGAATAAATTGATTCAACGAAATGTTAACAACATAGAAAACAATTTTGTTCAATAATTCTACCAAAATTTTGGTTTATCTATTCATAATATAAATGTGGTCATTTTACAAAATAATCATAACCATCTGAAACATATATAAATTCATTTCATAGGAATCTTTTTTTTGTCTTTGAACACACACACACACATGGACAATTTGAAACAAAATAGTAATGAATGTATCGCATAGTAAAAGTGAAAGGATGCTCACGACGCACACACTCAACATTCATTTTTTGTCGTTAATCAAACAGACAAAAACGAAAAAAAAACCTGAATTATTCATATGTATTATCGTTCAAAATCATCTTCACTAATAGGTACATTGAAAAGAATAAATTCTTGTTGACCAAGAGAAGGTGCCATTTGTTCAGCAATAAAACGATTTGGTCTTGGCTCAATACGTTGTAGTAAATTAAGAGAACTTGTTACAGACTAAATAAATCATAGAAATATTTCAAAAAAAAACTTTCAGTAGTTGTTTTACCTGATTATTAAGGATTATTCGAACAAAATGTAACGGCCTAAAGAATAAATAATAAAATGATTTATTTTGTAATTGATTATTTTCGAGCGATTTAGTATGAACTATAAAATGACAAGTTTCAGTAACATTTATTTGTAATTAGACTGAGTGACTAAATCGATTCAAATCTATAAGTTATTGCACAAAAGTTATGATATTTTTGGCGAATGTTCAGCATATTAGTCACAGTTTACAACGAAAAATCAAATTATATGATGTTTAACTGGAACTATGTCTAATTTTTAAGATATTCTCGAGTCTACTAAACTTATTTCTACGTAATATTTTAAATCAAAACTTTAGAGATACAGTTTTCTATAAGCATCTACTGATAAATAAATGAATTAAGATTGTACAGTTACTGATCTTTACTCATCACCTATAGAAAAAAATATTTCGAATAAATCAATAAACATTACCATTGTTCAGTTCCTTCTTCGGAATTAGCAAAATGAATTTCGACCACTGTATCATGTACTGCTTCTCGAAATATTTTAATTGTTTCATCGGGCCATATTGCTTCATTTTCATTTTGTGTTCGAGGAAAAGCCTAGCAAAAACAAAATCAATTCAACAGTTTTGTAAAAATATTTGTCATAGTTCTACATACTTCAGATAAACTACAAGCAATAGCTTGTGCTGGTAAATCTGTAAATAATTTGATAAGTGGATAAAATTCATTTACAGGTTTAACTTCAATATTTCCAAAATCAATAAAAACAATTTTTATTGAATCATGTCCTTCACGCATGATTAAACGTGCACGATACCAATTGTTATCTTCAACATATTTCGCAACACCGAAATCACCAATAGCAAGATCTTCTAATGGTATTAATTTATTAGATTGTTCTAACTTAACATAATAAGTACTAAAAAATAATAATTCAAAATCATGGGGTTTTTTTTCTTATTTCTTTTTGATTTACTGAAGGTCATGTTGCATTTGCGCAAATTTATCATGTACTTTTGGATCAAGATTTTCAACATAAAATGCTGATAAACTATCAATAATATCAATTTTAGCTTGTGACCATTTTGTACCAGGTGGTATACGTTGTAGACGGACTTTTTCTTTAGTTTCTGAATAGAATTACAGAATATTATTTCAAATTATATTTAATGAGGATGACATACGAGCTGGTTTTTGTCGTGGCTGATAATTGATGACTTGTGGATTAGTTGAAGAAGTTCCAAAAGCTGAAGGTGCATAATCAGTTTGAGGTGTACGTGTCTGATATGATGCTGATGACATTGGACGAGGCTAAATAAAAAAAAAATTGAATAGCTTGTTTTTTCATGAGAAAGATTAATAAAAAGCCTATAGTATATTGAATCAAAATAAAAGTCATAGATCTTATTCTTAAGAGTTTAGATTTCTAAATAAATATGACATTAAAACTAATTTAAACTTCAAATATAACTTTATTCATGATAGATTCTAAGTCAATACTACTCCGGAAAACACACAGTTAGACTATCAGCCATATGCACTACAGATAGATCATACTTTAATAAAAAAAAAAGAAGAGGAAGGATATTTATGTGAGTTTTGCGTGAGAAACGTGACACATTGATATAATAGCAAATATAGTAAATTACAATATGAACTTAACATATGTTTATAATGAACTCTCAGGACAAAAGTTAAAGGTACTTAGACGTCCGAATATTTAAGAACTTGATTTTTGACTATGACATGGGTTAGTTAGATATTACTCGAAATCGTATATTCTTTTCTTTTATACTTCGATTTTCCAATACTTTCTATAGCAACTAAAATTAAAGGAATAGCTGTTATATTCCCTATCGAAAGTTCACTCTAATATTGAAATTCTATCAATTGAAAAAATCATACAACTTACAACATAAGGTTCGTCAACCGATGAATACTGACTCCTGTTTTGTAAATTCATAGGTGTTGATCGTAATGAGCTGTCTACTGTATTTATTGATGATTGTTGTGATATAACTGGTTTAAAACCAGTTTTTTCTTGAGTTATTAAAGTTGATAGTCGACCGGATGTTGACGGTTGTTGACTACGCATTACGGGTATAGGTAATACATGTTGACCGAGTGGTTTTCCATTTGAAACTGGTTGTTGTTTAACTGTTGAAGATACAGATTGACGAAGTTGAGTTTGTGGTACATTCGTATCTAATGTTCGTGCTGAAAACGATGATGATGATGATGATGTTGGCAGTATTCTTGATTTTGGATCAATACGAAGAATTTGTTCAAGTAATATATCAACTCGACATAAAGCTACAACAATAAAAACAAAAGAAAAAGAGTTTTAAAAATTTCCTTGCTTTTTTGGTTGAAAAAAAAACTAACCTTCAACAGCTTCAATTGTTAATTCATTAATACGTTGAGTTTTAGGTAGAAGAAAATCACATGAAGATGAAGATTTCATTTGTATAACTTGATCAAGAATGATTTGTCGACGATATTGCCATAAATCAACTTGTTCAGTAATACTGGAATTTATTTTCGAAATATATTCTTTTGCTTTATCATAAGTAACACATAATCGACTAAGAAAAATTAATAAATATATAATCATTTTATTATAAAAAAACTTTGTTTATTTTCTTACTCGATTTCATCGATAATTTCATTACCAGATGATTCGTGTGCCATGATTATTTACGGAATGTTAACACTACTTTATCACAATTAGTATGAAAGAAAATAGTAGAAGGAAAAAAATACCCAGTTTTTATATAAAGAAAATAAATTACATGTCAGATGCATAACACATCCTACGCATGGTGGATTCTTCTATGAATATTTAAAATAAAACATGGAACTTTAAAATAAGCCTATGAAAAATATGAATATAGAGGACAGAAAAATATTTTCCTCTTTTCATTGAAAAAAAATGCAAAAAAGTGCGAATACTTTAGGAAAATAAATGTCAATAAAAATAAAATGTGTCGCTAATAGATATGTACGTGATTCTTTAAATTTTGAACGTTTAATGAATTACTTATATTATACTTTGAAAAATTCAAAAATAAAATCGTTTTATTACTACTAATTGTCCAGTCTTTTCGTCAGTCATTATATTAGGAGATTATCTTAGAAAAACTTATTAGTCGTAATCGATAATAATAATTTTCAGTCTCCTGATAAATACCTAGTCATCTATTCTCAAATAATATATACTAGGCAATAACATTTATGTGATAGTAATAATGCTAATTCAACCTAGTAATATGAATACATCTCTTTTAAATTTCTAATATTTACATATCGTGTAAAGAATAAATACATTGAATGAAATAGGAGAATGTAAATGGTAAACAGTATGAAATGAAATATATCAATATTGAATTTTTCAGTTGTAAGTTTATTTGTTATTTGTATTTTGAATACAAGAAATGATTCATTATGGAATTAAACATATTTTCACATGAAGGAGTTACAGTAAGGGATCTAGGATTTTGTAAGGGGGGGGGGCGATTTTGGTTAAAAGCTATTTTCTGAGTCCAATGGAAGTAGTATGAACCTATTTTTTCGTTTATTTTTGCTGTAAAAAATCAAAAAAAAAAATTCGGGAGGGGGGAGGGGGCGATCACCCCCTAAATCCGCCACTGAGGAGTAATAAAATGGTATATTTAAGTTAATTATTTTTCGATAAAAGATCAAACTTAGATGTTATATGAGATCATTAAAAACTTATTAATATTATAGATATATATATTCATTAAATGATCATCAGGCTTGTCAGCATACAATTCTTTCTTTCTGTTTATATTGACCATAGAAAAAATAAACAATGTTCTGTATAAATTATCTAAATATTTACTTGATCAAGACAAATTGACATTGAGCAGAAGCATCGTTGTTTTTCAATTAGGTCTTTCTTTTTTTCTAAACCACATTCTAATTTTTCACAGTGAAAAATTCTAACTGAATAAACAATAATATAACTTGAAGGATTTGTAAATAAAATCAATTTGTACCACTCTTAAAGATATTAGTCAAATTGTACGAAGAAGCAAGAAAAAACGATTTTTAGGTGGTATTGAAAAAAACCTATTATCATACGGGAAATGATTGTAAGGAAGGTTTTTTTGTTATTATTCTTTGAAATGTTCTTGAGACAAGAGCACTTGTTAAGTGAAGTCATGTTCAATCGTTTTTGAACATTTTATATTGATCGATTTATATATAAAGTATATAGGGTTGTTCAAGAGAAAAAGTAACAGGGGTAGATTCATTATATTTGTATGAATGAATTTTTTCTTATTCCTAATGGCTGAATTTTTATAGAGCTTCTTAATATTGAAAATAATATTTCTTACAAATTTTTCTAAGTTTTCATTTTATTAAATCTTGATAGTATTTACTGGAAATTATAATTTTTTATTTTGCTACTTTTATTAAAAATTTAGTAATATCTATATCGAATATGTCGTTAAATTGTATAGTTTAACTTCGATTAGAAAAAAAATTTATTTCAAATTATTCGTCGCTTGACATAATCATAAAATTTATATGCTAATGAGGCAAATGTATTAACAATGTTTATTAAACAAGTTCGATGTTAAAATGCAATGTCGTGGTAATGAACAATGGTGTATTGAATATTCAATATGACACCTTTCGATCTCTCCTCGGGTACAAGAGAGAGAGAGAGAGAAAAAGAGAGGTGTAGTCAGCTGTATATTATTAGTTTCTTTCGTTCCGTGTATTACTTATTTGAAATTGAACCATTTCTCTCTCTTCGTTTTCGCTCGTGCTCGTTTACACACAATTATAGTATTGAATTACGTGAGCATAGATCGAACGGTGTTATTTCTCATTCTTCTTACATTCTATATCATCAAGAGAATAAGCATAAAAAAGAAGTAATTTTGTAGCATCGACAAATGTGATTACCGTATTCTACTTCTTATCGTTTCTTTTATTTATCAATTTATTTGTTCACTTTTATTTGTTCGATTTATGTCTTTATTAATGAGACTTAGAGAGCTTAACCATTTACATTATATATCACGCAAAATAGTTCAAGGTAATGTTCGTAGGGCGTTCATATATATATATATATATATATGTTAACATTTAAAACTAACATCGGTATTTTTTTTTCAGCTTTTCATTTATATTTGATCTATGTGAGTAATCGTTACATGAGTAAAGATAGAAGTATCGTCTACTTTTTCTGTTAAGGCATAAACGTCTAGTTTTTGTATTTATTAAAGTGAGTGAAAGCGAATTGATGCTAAGTATTTACTTTTGTTTCTCTTCATCAAAAAGACAGACATACAAAACAAGTACCTATTTGATGTTCATCATTGCTTATATAATACTATGTCTATATATGTAAGGTGAATAATTAAATCATTCTGATATTTTATTTATTGTCAGCTCAGTTTAACACAATTTATAATATCGTTTATGTTAGTATAATTTTTTTTGACAAAAAATTATTTCTATTCTATTAATATTCATTGAAATATGTACCATTAGTGTCATTTTAAAGGTTGTTGAAAAATTATAAATACATTTCTCATTTTCGTCCTTTTTTTTATAATGTAAAGAAAAAATGAATATTTAAGTAAATAGTTATCGACGAGAAGGAAGACTGTGTGTATAAAAAAAAGATGTCTAACAATGAATAAACTTGAAATCAAGGTCTCATGTCTTAGCATATCATCGTTGTTTGTTAAGTTTTTTTTTTTTGTAAAAAAAAAGAAGAAAGAGCTGTGAAATACAGTGTTGGTACAAAAAAAAGAAAAAGAACACTGTATTATTACTATATATATCTTTGTACATTTCGATTCACATTCATAGTGAAGAATGAGAGAAAATGTATCAATATTCTGTCTGTTTTCATTCATGTCTGCATATCCGTATTTGTTAAAATACTATGGCTTTTTTCTTTTAAAGATAAATATTCTCTTTGTTGTTTTAATCGTTACTTTTAAATATTATTCATATAGTTCAATGATTTTTAGTTTGAAGGATATTTAAACATTTTTTTGATTCAAAGTTAGTTTACATAACTCAGTTTCATATATAAGATGATTTAGGTAGTTCTTTTTTTCTCTTCTATTGATAAAGTAAGTAAGATAATTGATTTTATTTTTTTATAAAATTTAAATTGAACAATCAATTATTTGTTATGGTCTACCTTATATTTACATCGTAGACTTAAACGAAGAACAACAACTTCGAATCTCTCTCTTTGTTCTTAATCCTTTCCTAAGCCGTAACATAGTTGCACGTTTTATTTATCCCATAGAAATAAAATTAGGTTACTTGTTGCTTTAATTAGAACAAACGTTTGTTAGACATTATTTTACTTGTATACATAGTATAATATATTAGACAGAAAAAGAAATGTAAGGTTTTCTTTTCTAGGAGTTCAGATTTATTATAATATGACTTGATTAATAATAGTAATTCTATTGAACCAAACATGAAAGAACTACTTTTTGCTTAATTTCACATCATTAATATGTATAATGGTTCAATGATTACTTTGTGTGTACCTTACCATATGATAAGACAATTATGATCTTATCATTATTGAATAGATATTTGAATTATCTTTGCTTTTATCACATCTAAATTAAGTGAAATATAATTATTTTTTTTCGAGTTAGTTTGCCGAATCTATTCGAAACAAATAGTTCTTTTTGTATATGTTAATAACATCATAAATAAATTTCAATAGAATAATTTTATGTACGAACAAAATAACATTCATATACCTGTCAATTAGAACAAAGAATCTACTTATTATATATATTGAAACAGATTGAATTATTATTATTAGTATTTTACACATACATATATAGTAAAATTTTATTCTCCACTTGTTTTTCTTTTTTTCGTTTTAGTATAATATATTCATCATCACTATTGTTTTTATTTGTATAGATAATTTAGTTCGATATTTTTTCTTGCTGGATTGATCATCAACTATGAAAGAATATATCTACGAAGTCGAACATTCATGGGAAACACAACGAGAACCAGTTTTTAATGATCAACAACATCGACATCATCATCAACATCGACGTTGTGGTGGAGAAGATGCTGCAATGGACGCTGATGCCAGTAGTATGAGTGGTAAGTATATGCATTTCTTTCCAGGCGCGTATATGATTGTATGTTTATATAAAGCTTAGAAATACAAATAGCAGTTAGTCATTTGTAGGTATACATATACCGGTGTATGGTGTTGTTTATTATTTGGTAGACATATAAGTTGATTACAAATCTACTATACTCACAGTTCGGTATTCGGTTAACAGATATGATGAGCATTGCTCAATAGATAATATAAGCAAAGAAAGAAGGACGTTTGTTTTTGTCTTTGCATCATCATCATCCCTAATAGAATAAAGAGCTTGTGTTGTTAAGAAATGATATTAACAAGTATATAAACAATCATGTAAGCTTTATCTAGGAGATATTGCAGATAAGGATTCAAATGGATATAGTCTCGCAGATTCATACATATATCCTCTATTGACCAATAATTACTTTACTACATACATACATAAATCACAATTGTCAACTATCAATTTTATATATACGTATTGAAACGATGAACAATTTCGAATACTATATAAACTACTGTCTATGTCTCTTATTGATAAATATCCTCTCGACAAAAAATTTCATTGATGAATGAACATTGATGCGAAGAAAAAATAATAACATGTGCCATTGATAATTAAATATGTTGATGAACGTAACAATCTAATTATCAGAGAAAAAAAAGAAGAATAAATCGGTAGGAATATATCGATGAACAGGTGGTTTCACTTCATGAGAAAGTTCACAATGAACATCTCTCGTGACAGAGATGATAATCACTTGTATATGTACGTGTTTGCATGTCATCATATATATATATATATATAATTATGCAATAGGTACACACATACTCATACATACAAGAGATAGTTCTATATTTGATCATGATTTAACGATAAACTGTTGTGTTAATACGTATAATCAGTAGTTAACAGTTATTTTATCGGATTGATTATCAAGAGATAGGTAAAAAAAACGATTTATTAATATATTGATTAGGTTTCTTTTTAAATAAACGAAAAGAGAATAGTTGTAAATTTAATCATCAGAAGACACTTATATTCTCTCACCTATACATTTGGCTTCAGTTGTATGTTCTTTTACAAGAGAATTATATTGTATTAACAATATAAGAATAAAGAGAAAGTGAAATCCTTTTTTTTTTTTCTACAATATATATAAGAATAAGAATGACATAACATGATGATTGAAAAACTTAAGTAGTCAAGAAAATAATAAGTAAAGAACACTTAAATTTGATTGAACAAATAATGAAAAGTGTGGACGAGTATATTGGACATTCTTCAAGATTATTATTATTGATGTTCGATGTACATGAGTATTTTAATCAATTAAAAACATTTTCAATACATTCATATAGTATGAAAGGTAATCGAATGAGAGAAATTTATTTTTTTTCTTGTAATACATGAGATTAGTACATAGAATTTAATCCTATTTTCAAACAAAAATGTCACCGAAAAAAAATATATAATTCAATATAGTTTCTTTAAGTCTATTTGTTACGAATAATGATATTCATGCGAGAGAGAGAGAGAGAAAGAGTTTGAAATTTATCTGGACGTTAATGATATTTTTTTGTCTTAGATATATAATAGGAAGTGAGTGAGATAATATCACACATCTGCTTTTTAAAGAGCAAATGTCCATGCTGATTTTCTCAACTATATGACCGCTGCATGCGTCGGTATCTTCTTGTCTTTTGTACTATGTTCAGTAAACATGCACGATTGATTTTTATCGATGGATTGAATGGCACACGTCTATGATGTACACTTGCTGTAACCAATGAGCCAAACAATCATCTCTTCTCCTCCATTTACCAGAAGGCAAGGCTAGTATGCAAGAGATTATCTCGTTAGCAAGTTTGGCCGTCTTGTTTTATTACTCATCTTGACTTTTCTTTCTCTTTCTCCAGGAAAAGAGAAATACCTAGGTCCACGCGCGCCAACTGTCTGTTCTTACTACTGCCCTTTCCAGATGATGATGATGAATATCTTTCTATCGCCATTGACGATGCTCGTATTCGACTAGAATTTCTATGTTGTTGTTATTACTGTACGTTTCTTTCTTAGATCTTCATCTATTGAGTTATAGAGAAACAGAGATCAAGTTAGAGAAACTATCAAGAAAGAATAACAACCAAACGGTCCATTACTCTATATAAAGAAGTTATTAGATAAGCAAAAAATTCTTTTCATATATCGATATGGATCTTGTTAAACGACGTATAAATCGACGCTTTCATCGAGCTAAAAGTAAGTTTTTATTGTTTAAAATTCAATAAATTTTAAGTATGAAGAAAAAAAAAATTTCTATGATTTTTATACATTATCATATAATTAAAAAACAATTTTAAGTCAATTTGTCTCATTCATATAAGAAGAATAAAAGCTCATTGAATATTACCAATAAAAAATGAGCTTCATTAATAATCCTTGTATTTCTTACCGTTCTATGCTTTATCTATATGACTTTGAGAGAAACAAAAATACATTTTGTCATATTGATATATATAATGTATATAAATATATTGATTCACGTGATAATTTTACCTGTCCCTCGTGTGTATAATCATCATTTTCTTTTATCTTCCTCGTCTCGTTTACATTACTGAATAACAAGCGAAAGAGAAAAGTAGAGGTGAATGAGGCTAGCGCACATGAATGTTGTTTTTGTTTGTGTTTTTTTTTTTCATTCAAAATATTTTGCATTTATATATTTAGAAACGACATCAGAGTCGGGCGTTAGTGATTTGGAAACAAGTATGACAGATTTTCGTTGTACATGCTGTCCTTATGGTTATCATCTGGATACGGATTTTATGAAATTTCTTGATGATATGTATGGACCTGATGTATTACGTACATTGAAGAAAATTGAACGAAAACGGCATGATGTACGACGTCGTCTTGTTAATGAACATCAGGTATTGATAATAATGAAAGAATAAAGTTCTTATTTTTTGTCCTTGTCTCAATAAAAATCTGTTCGATATCTAGATTGAATAATTTATACTAAATTAAACAGAAATTTTCTTTTGTCAATCTGTGACACATACATTCTTTCCTTTTTTTTCATTGAGAAATGAGAGTAAAAAATCATTGTATCTAATATTCATTTTTTATTAAACAGTAAGAAGGAAAAAAACAAGAGAAGATGTTACTCTATAATGATAATTATATTAGTGATAGTACTTCTCCTTCTATGTCTTCTTCATCATCTTTTTCATCATCATCGTTTAAAAGTAGTTCTCTTTCTGATAATATTAGTTTATTAATTTCTCATACAAAACAATCGAAAAGTTCTGTAAGTTTAGAAAAATATATAAGAAAATTTTTTTTCTATTGAAATTTTTAGCCGAATCATAATATTCCTATTTCATCATCATCAGCAAGAAATTCAGCAGCATTTGATAGTGAAATTATACGTGAAACAATTCTTGAACTTGATCGTATTGTTGAAAAAGATATTAAAGATCTTGAAGCTGAATGTCATCGTAATAAAAGCCAATTGAATAATTCTGATCATGTACATCAACATCGATCTCGTTCGATGGAATCTCGTCGTCATTTACGTGCGCCACCTCGTCCTCCAACATCATCATCAATAGTAACAACATCACGTACAGCTGAAGAACGTCGCATTTGTGAACATCGTATGCAAATGGAAAAAACAATTACAACAAGAACACGTTCAGCACCACGTCTAAATTTAATGACAGGTGAATCAATGAGTTCCTTACGTAAATTAGATATGACAAAAAGTGGTCCAATAACAATGTTATATAAAATTCCACCACCACCATTCTCACGATCAAGTAGTTCAAGTTCATTATCAACTGAAACAACACTTCGTGTATCAAGTCCTGAACCAGATGAACAACCAAATCCACCACTTAAACCATTATATATTACAGAAATTATTGTACCACCAAAACCAATGGTTCGTATGCAAGAAGCAATAAAAACAACAGTTGTAACAATAACAGATAAATCAGAAATAGAACGACGTAATCGTGAAATTGAACGACTTGACTCAGAACGTAAAACTTTATTAACTGAAAAAGAAATTTTATTAAAAGAAATTGAACGATATAAACATCAACCAGGTAAGATTGAAATTTTTAATTGATTCATAATAAAAAAAAGAATTTGTTTAGCACCTAAGATTCCTCCAAAGAAAACAACGTCTATAACAATTCTAACAAATCAAGAACAAATGTATAAACAAAATAAACCTTTAACACGTGAAGTAGCTATGCAACATATGGTTGAAGATGATCAACCACCACCATTACCACCTAAACAACGACAACAACGTGATGTTGCTATTAATCATCGAACTGAATATGATGAAGATGAAGAAAAACAAAGTGAAATTGTTCGAAAAAAATTAGAAGAAATTAAAAATTTTTATACAGAACGTATACATTTTCTTGAGGAAAAAATTTATGAACAAGAAAAAGATATTGAACGTTTAAATGAGCCAAAAAAATTACGACATGTTAATACACAATGTCAACCAACGATGCAAGATCGTGCACTTGTTACTGATACATTCCGATCAGGTAAATTATATATAGAAAGTAGAAAAAGAAAGAAACTATATCTATTGATTTATTTAGTTCGAGATGTTGGATTAACGTGTCATCTTCAACCAACATTACCAGGTCCTATTGCACATCGTGATGTTAGTCTTCAATGTAATACACATGAATTTATTAAAACACGTGATGTATGGATGGAAGCTTTACCGGAAGTACCTATTATGCGTGATGTATCAATTGGTGTATCACTTAATGTTGAACCAGATAGACATTTTCGTGATGTTGGTACTCATGTTAATTTTGATTTCAAACCGGAAATAGTTCAACGTGATGTAGCAACTATGTTTGCACCTGAACCAATAGAGAAACAAGATCGTTCTTCAAATACACAACCTGTACAGACAAGAGAGTTTGGTGCTTTTGCAAATACTATGTAAGTTCCACACTGAGAGAGAGAGAGTAGTTTTGTACTCTTATGAAATCATCGTTAAAATAAATTATATGATACTGAAAGTTATTAATATCTATTATTTAGTGAACCACCCAAACCTCCTCCAAAACCAATAACACGTCCCGCATCTACGGATACTTTTAATTTAATCACACATAGAGATGCAGCTTGTGGATTAAATGAACCTACACGAAATCGAGATACATCAACTGATACGATAGAACTTATTTCTTTACATGATCGTGCAAGTGGACTTGATATTCCTCCTGAATTACTTTCACGCCATGTCTCAACTGACACACGTACATTGATCTCTCTTCGAGATAATTTTTCTGCAACCATACCAGTAATACAAGCTATACATGTTGATGCACAAACACAATCAAGACCTGCTGTGCATCATGATGCATCATCTAATACTCCTGCACTAGCCGAACAACGTCATACAGGTATACAAGTATGTATTATTTTATTATTATTGATTTGAAAATCAAGATAATGATTCGATTTTGTTTTGTTATTAAGGCTGTACAAGAACCACCTGTTGTTAAACATAATACAACATCAACTGAAACTGAAATATTTCATCAACTAGGTTATTTACGTCATAATTTATCTAATACAGACATTAAACGATCAACTGATCGAGGAATAACAACTGAACGTCGACAATCACGTGAATTAGCTGTAAATACAGAACCTAGAATAATGTATTCAAAAGATGTTGGTGATTATGATGTACGTGTTGTTAATGACAAACATGAAGAATTTACATGGAATTCTTTATATGGACAAACAACTACACATGAAAGTGGATTTCAAACAGATTTATCTGATACAAAACGTCATGTTGGTTATATTAATCGTGAAGATGAAGATACAATTGAAGAACAACGACAAGAAATAATTACATTTCGTTTACCATTAGAAAGTCGAACAACAGAAGAAACTTATGAAACAACAATAACAACTGAAATACAAGAAAATAATCGACAAATTGAAGAAATGTATGAAACATCAATAACAACAGATGCAAAACAACAAAAACGAGCCAATTCACCTGAAGAACTTGTTGAAGAATCTTATGAAATTATATCAACACTTGCGAAACCACCACAACATGGAGATTTTTTTCTTACATCAAATACTCCACAATTAACAATTATACAAACACGTCCTCAATCATCAATAAATAAATTACAATCAAGTGAAGATGATAGTTCTTATTGTGAAGAATGGACAGTAACAGAAGCTAAACGTAAACAAGATGGAGAAACAATTCAAACTGTTATTGACAGGTAAAAAAAATCAAAAAAACATAACTGTACAAAAAACTAAAAATTAGATATTGTGTACAAAAACAAAAAAAACTTAATCTTTCTTTTTTTCTCTCTAAATAATAAAATCTATATTAAAAATAGTATGTTAGACAAAAATAAAATAACATTCATTGATTATTCTTAAACATGCTTAATTATGCTTTTGGTTGCTTATCTGTATAGAGACGGTCGTCATCGATATACTGTTAATGCAGATAGTATATCTACTTCATCAAATTATCCTCAGCAACGCTCCGGGTATGCTTAGTAATTGAGGTTAGAAATATGCTTATAGTATTCTTAGTTTTAATAATACTGGTACACAAATTTATCAACATGAAGAAACAACTCAATTATCTCCATCGCTTATACATACATCAACAGTGTATGAAAAACGACGTAAAATTGGTTCGGAACAAACGGATATTAATTCACGAATAAAACAACAAGATATACCATTTGATGATAATGAACAAAATATTGAAGAAAAATATGAAGTTACGATATCAACAAATTATGATGAATCTGGTTTAAAAGCACTTTCACCTAAACCTATGATGATATCATCTGATACAAAAGAAGGGTATAATATTCTCTCTGAATTTACATCTAAATAAATATTTATTTATTTTGTATAAATAGATTTATACTTAATGAAGAAATGTATATTGCATGTGTTGTTGTAAATGAATCTTTATATGATAATACTGTTGATAGAAAAAAAGTGGTAATATATATATATTTAATAGAATTAATTATTATTACGAGTAAAATTTTCTAGAGTAATTGTCTTCAATTACTTCAACAAGAATGGTTTGGTATATCAAGTCAAAAAGAAGTTAATCTTCTTTTAATTGAAGGATTTTTAAATAGTATAAAAGATAATTTTTCAAATTTTTTACTTGAACGTATTGTTAACTTACAAGACAACAATGTAAGAAGAAATTTTTTCTATACAAAAAAAATCATATATATTTAATTAGGGTAACACGGCACTTCATTATTGTGTTACGAATGGTCATTGGCATGGTGTTAAAATGTTATTAGATACAAAAGTTTGTGATGTATGTTTACAAAATAATGCTGGTTATACTGGTAAAAATAAGAAATTTGTTTGTTTTATTCTTATGAAATATATCTCATTAATAAAATTTAGCTGTTATGATGGCTGCAGTTATTGATATAACAAATGATGATCAACGACAAATAGTTCGTCGTCTATTTCGTGAATCAGGAAATGTTAATGTTAAAACAAAAGATGTATATTTTAATTAAATTTTCTTAATTATTTTAAAAACAGAAGGTGTAATTCTTATTTAGAATAATCAAACAGCATTAATGCTTGCTGTTAAACATGGGAAAGCAGATTTAGTTGAATTATTAATACGTAATGGTGCCGGAGTTAATTTACAAGATACCGAAGGTTTAACAGCATTAATGTATGCTGTTGAACATGGATCATTAAATATTGTTAAATTACTTTTAACACAACCTGAATGTAATATTGATATTGTCGATAATGTAAAAATACCCAAAAAAAAAGAAAATAATTTCGATTTAAAAAAATTCTTATTTTATTTTAGAATGGTCAGAGTGCTATTACTATTGCAACAAATAAGAATCGAAAAAATATTCTTGTTGAACTTTATGCAAAAATTAAAGAACAAAAAGGACATCACTCAGTAAGCATGAAAGGTTTTTCTTTTCCTACACAGTCTCACTCTTAACACTAAGTAAGGAAATAGCTTGCTGACAGTTTGACATCTTTAATTTATATAAATACATTTTTTTGAGATGAAAGAACGACGTCAATTTAATTTACACGATGTAAACTATGAGAGAATTAATATTGTTATAAAATACTTCAAAATATATAATAACATTACTTCTATTTCAAATTGTTTCTATCCTGGCTCTATCTTACTGTTCGAATAACTTTTGTTATCAGTCTTAAAATCGTATAATAATACTCAAGGTCAAAGTTGATCTCAATTATTTATCTTCGATAGATTCTTTTGCATAATTTTAAAGTCAATATAGTTTCAATAACTCGTTATTAAGATCATATTTTTCGTCTGATACTAAATAAACAAGTAAAAGAATAAAATCTATAAAATAATATTTCCTAAAATATCTTAAAATAAATAATTCATATGTTTGAAAATATCCAATTGTCGATCTATAAATAAATAAATATACGTCAAAATTCAGATCAAATGAAGTATTCTATACATATCATTTTTCCCTACATTCCTTATATATATAAATACATCTCTACATACATTGTATGTGCTGGCTTTCTAGGCGTTAGGTATCAATTCTCGTTCTCCAAATAGAATAACAGCAGCTGACAGGTAATATTAAAAAGTCTGACTGACATTTTTTTGTGTGTTAATTTATGTAGTTACTAAATATAAATCTAAAGCTTTTTTTCTAATATATAATAATAATAATAATTCAATATATAAATTAGTTTATGTGAAGAATTGAAGAAATTATATAAAGAATTTCAATCGTCGATTAACTTAATTATATTTGTTATAATAATGAGTATTTTTGCTCTTTTTTTTACTACTATTCCATAAATAAGAAGGTTAGCTAATCCTTATATATATATATAGTACCTGATTTTTTTTTATTTGCTTGAATTTTTTGTAGATACTAATCCGCATGAATATTTTGTTTTGATAAGATTATTTGTAGATACATATTTAAACAAAAAGATTTCTATCATTTAATTTATTTAGATCTACACTGAACAGTTCTATTCAAGCAACAACAGCAACAACAACAATAGAAATAACTTCTCCTTTATCTAGACGAAAGAATACAGATGATACAGGTCCAACTGTATCAGCATTTCGTCGTTATTATTCTCCTAAATAGGCCAACTTTCTTTTATTACTTTTTTTCCTAGTCTTGTTTCTTTTTTTATATTATATTTGTTGTCAAAAATAATCGTACTGATATTAATTAGATCGTTCGATTATATGACAAAGTATATATGTGTGTGTATCTTTTCGCCTTTTTTTTCTACTTAATGTATGTGTATGTGTGTGTGTATAACGGAAAATGGGAATTTTTTTAATGTATATGAATAGATCAAAGAAATGGATATATACTATCAAATGCAATTCAGATTATTTTGATTGCGATAAAAATGATTATTTAAGATTTTGAAATCTATATTAATAATCTTTTGAGATAACATCTTATTTTATTAGAAAATAAAGAATACTATATTATTCATCTTTTTTATATTAATTCCTTCTTAAAGTCTGTAATATTTAATATCAATGTGAATCTATAAACTAGGCAGATATTGAATAGCTGATTAAATCCAGGGTTTTTATTCCTAGAGGGAAAATTTTGTTGTCGGAATGACAAGCAAAAGTTTTTAAGAAGCAAACTATCATGAATGTTATCAAGTCTGTTATAATGTTCTTAATAACGATTATCGGCGTATATGCACGTCAGAGCAAAAGTTGAAGACTACAATTCCCTAACTCTGTTTTCAGATCCAGCATTGACTGAAGTTCTTAAGATTGATATCAGCTATCTTTCTCTGTGGATCTATTTTTTAAATCATATCTGTGCATTAAGTGTTGCTACTCCTTCTTTAGTCAACCACAATATGTGGAAGCATACAAATATTTACATATATAAGAGTAATTTTTTAGTAGATAGTGAACATGAGTTTAGTTTATTAAGAATCTGACTAGCCATGACACATAGGATGAAAACGAACAAAATAAGTATGTGCCACATGCCTCGATATTAATAACACGTACAAGAATGAAGAAAAAAAATTATTAAAATTATATCACGTAATTTACAAGGACTATTCCAAGTGTGAAAAATTGCGCATACACAATAAATTCTTATCTTATTACTTCTTTTTTCCATACATAACAATAAAACATATGTATCCTCAAAAGCTTTGACTATCCTTCAATATCAGTGAGTATAAAAAAGCTATTTATTTGAAGATTATATGATACGGCAGTCTTTATTTGAGTATTGAAAAATCATGACATAGCCAGTAACGAATCCGATAAAAATTCAAAGTTTGTAGTATTCCATCTTGAGAGTTAACGTTGAATTTGTTGTGTTAACAACATCATATTTATTAACCCTTTCTGAATGGTGCTCGTATATATACTGTTTTGAAGGTTTTCACAAGAAATAATATTTATTAGGTTAATTAAAATAGGTTTTTCTGAAAAGCTTGTATTTGTTACTATTAAGGAAGAGCAGGCGTAATAAAATATGATAGTTAATATTTTTCAACTTATAAATCGCTTTGATGCTGCGTTTATTATTTCGTAGAGGAAAAATTTAATCCTCAAAGAGTACACAATTTGCCCTAAACATTTCCAAGAAAAACAGTTTTAGAAAAATATATTGATTTAGTTTTTCCCTCAGGGGACAGATATAATCTTCTAAAGAACAAAATGCCTCGTGCCCTCCTACTGAGTAAAACACTGGATTAAATTTACAGAAGTAGAGTGTCGAAATTTGCAGTTGAGCTACAAATATTTTTGTCGTATTATTCTTCGATAATAAATCTATCAATATATTCGATTTCTTTATACTATCGAATAAATCACGTAATATTTTTTAATACAACTTTTCAAAGTTAACAAATCAATAATATCAAACGATTCTAAAGATAATTTGCATACATATCTGCTATAGCCTCATTTCACTATTGATATTCTCTCTAAATAAGCATATTATCGACTTGTCAATCATTTATAAAACTTTTCTTTCATATGATTGATAATTGATAATTAATTATTCATTTCTTGACATTTACCATACATAACAACAAAGCTTTTTCTTATAAAATATAATATCTCTTTATGGTATATTTAATTTTTCATAATCGAAATTAAATAGTATCTACAATTACCGATCTACATTTATCTTCTGACTTCTGACTAGACATTGTTAAATTGTAAATCTGAACGTAACTTCTGTAGTTTATAGGAAATACGTGACCTACAACTAATTGTGTATATGTCTAGTTTTTGAATTATTTTGTAAGCATTATTAAATATTAACATGCGTCATTGACTAGACATTTCCTGTTTAGAATTTTTTGTTATATCAAATACTCTTGTGATATATTGTTTTTGAAGTAATTGAGATGAGATAAATTTTTGCTCAAATATTTTTTATTTATCAGTATTCTCAATTGACAAAACTAATCTTGATATTATGATAACGAGTATTTTCTTTAAAGTTAATATAATAATTTTGAAATATTAATACAGCTAGAAAACTAGTATATTAAATATATTTGATGATGAAAAGCTGAATAAGTCGGGATCATTTCCTTCTTGACATTTGTAATTTATCATACAAGTTCTCTTATATTATTCAAAAGAAAACTATATATAGCTGTTTTAGAAACACTATTATATCGACCTGAGGAAAAGTACGAGTCGTTTTAAACAATAAGAAAAAAACGCCGACTAGAAGACAATAGATAGAGAATTACGGCACAAATATCGATCTTAGTTGTTTAACTTCCGGCAAATAATATAACGGCTAAATTACATGGGGATACGATCATAATCACGTCGTTTCCGATAGTTGAGATGTGAATAATGTGTTTTATATATTCTAAAGTAATACAATCGGACGAAACTTTTTTTTATAATAAAAATAAACGGCAAAAAGCTTTTGAAACCTTGATTATTTGTTCTTCAATATTTATTTTATGATAAATGTATTAATTTTTCTACGATAGATAGAAAAAAAAGCAAATAATATGAACTTATAAATTCTATTTTATCTGACTTAATCCTAACGAATAGAAAATAACTGACAGCAACAAAATCTTCTATTATAATGCATAAGAAAACAAATTTGTCATTTCGAATACTAATGTTTTGCAATATGAGAAAAATATTAGCATGTGATATGTTAAGACCTAAGAAGAAAAAAACATGATGTTTGTATTTATTTACTTAATAAATCGATTAGAAATTAGAATTTCTTTTTTTTCTTCTTATTATTAAAAAATTCAAGTATATATATATTTTTACTCAATTGTGTTATCACACTGAAAATATTGTTAAATATATCGATATGAAAACGACAATTTATCATGATGTATTGATTAGAACCGTCATTCTTATCTTCGATGCATTAACCATAAAAATATTTATTTTGCTTATTTCAATTATTGATTGATTCATCCTTCTATATAGATCAATTATTACTATAGAAAATATCGAACTATCCAAGAGGAATGAACGAAAAGAAAAACATAAAATCTTTCTTATTGGTTCCATAGAACTCCTAACAAGCTTCCCGTTGAATATTGATCGATGTCCAATAGAGTTGACTTCCTTATTGATTATGCCAATAGTCTTTTCCTTTTTTTACTGTCGTTCTTACGCTTGATGTGTAGAGACATACATATATAGGAACAACATGATAGATGATAGTAATGTCTACGAAATTCATTCATGTCATTAGAATTCTTCTATCTCTATCTCTCTCTATATATACATTCTTCATCATTCTATTTCAATTCTGATCAATACTTTGAACTTTATATATTATTTCAATCGTTATTTTATTGATGAAGTCAAAAGAAATCATAACAATTGATCTTTTATTAATCACTACGTGCTTTATATACTTTTATTTTGTATTAGTTATGCACGTATGTATTATATTTTTATTTAGATTATTCAATCTATCTTTTCAGAAGTAAATTTTTTGTTTCTATCATCAATTACAAATCAGAACAAAAGAAATCATTTACTATTCCCATAACTAAAATCTTATTGACATACGAACGACCTAATTGCATTGATTTGTCAACGATAAAAAGAAAATATAAACCTATATTTATTATTGCTTACAAAATCAATAACAGCAAGCATTTGGCATATTTACACTTTTAGAAAAACAGCAAATCATTTATATTTGACTACGAATTTTCAATTATATACACATCAAATAATAATATTAACAATTATGAATCAATCGGAAAGGTATATTTCATTTACGTTTTGTTTTTTCTTCACTCACATAGCAAAGATTATTTATTATGTGTAAACACTTACACTCTTGCCTAATCAAAAGTGTTAATTCAATTTGCCTATGATCATTGGTAGTTTGATACTGAGTTACTCTTTCCATTAGATGCCTATGAATTTGTATCTGATTGAGAATCTCCATATTCTGTTTTGTTTTTTTTCTCCTTTCTTTCTTCATCTATCTCAACAAGTGAAAGACATCATTTCCAGATTCTCATTCCCACTCATATTCTATCAATTGAATTATCAATAACCGGTAGCCGACATAATAAGAGATAGAAATGAGATTCATGTTTGTTAGTACATATATCTATCGGCTATGATAATAATAATAATAATAATCATGATTATAAATATTACTATAGGTGATGATAAGCAAAACTTATAAAAATATTCAAATTGAAAAATAATCAATTCATATATATATATATGATAATAATCTAGTTTAAATGAAGAAGAAGGAAAAAGCGTATCCTTTCCATTCCGATCAGCTAAGTGTTAGTCGATCGGAGAGAATGCGCAGATCATATCATATGGTTAACTAGTCATTTTGTTCTTGATTTATTTTTTTTGAAGTTCAATTAGTGAAACTTAAGAAGAAGAAGAAGATGCTGGTATCTCTCTTTTTTTCTTTGCAAGAAGAACTTGACTGTGCTTGACAAGCTACATTACCCACTGTGTATGATTATAAGACAAAAATAATAAGATTATATTTCGGTCTACTTAAACCGTAATCAGGAAATAAGAGCAGAAGGGAAGAAAAAAAAAGAACGAAGAATAACATTATTAATCGAGATATGATCATAAAATCGAACAATATTCATTTAATGAAGAAAGATTAGTCTACACTTACTAGAAGAAAAAAACTCTTTTAAAACTAAGTCTGTTGAGTTATCTCAACAGATAAGAATAATAAAAGAAGAAGAAAAAAGAAGAAAAAAAGAAATCGTCATAATCACTATTATCATCTATAGTTGTCAGTCACGAATAAAGAGAACGAGTAAGTAAGCATCAGAAATAAAATAAGAGGAAAAAACCAGTAACAAATAAGAGGAACGGAAAAAGAAAAGAAACAGTCGGGATGTATAAAGAACGAGAAGTCTATTTAAGTAAATTAATGTTCATCTTTTTTACCACTAGAAGACTGATGTTAGATCTTCTTTGTATGACTGTTGTTTTTAGATCTAAGCCAAAAAAGAAAGAAAGAGAAAGCTAGAAACAAAAGACATTTATTGAATATGACTAGGATTTTATCATAGTGTTCGTAGTAGATGTGTAAAGTATATATGATCATTATGTTATTGTTGTTATAGGTCAGTTAATATTTTATTCTCGCTATATGTCGTCTACGAGTCATTTGACCGTGGTTCCGACGACTAGCGAGACAAAAATCGATAAACATCAAAATAGTTATAATTTTCACAATACACATTGTCGTGGATCATCTAATTTGCTGCATCTATCATCGTCTCCAACGAAAAATTCCAAATATCTTTATTATGTGAATGTTGAACCTACCCGGAAACAATCAACAACAACGACAGCAACAACAACAACAGTAGTAACAACAACAACAACACCATTAAATGCTCGTCGGAAATTAAGTGCTATCTCATTACCGGTTCCTTGGTATAAACGAACACGTTCACCTAGTGACGAAAAACTTCCACAAAAGTCTAATAAAATGTCTCGAGATCGCTTATTACCTCTCGATAAATTATTTAATAATGGTACACATACAGCAACAACAACCACAACAACAGATGAAGATCAAGCATCACCAATAAATGATTTTACTCCACTTGATGAATCTATAAAACTTAATGAGAAAAATATGCAACAAATAAAAGAAAATGGTTATTTAAATAATTCATCAACTTTAATGACTAGGTAAGAATAACTTAACTTAAATAGTATCGTTTTTCTATTCTTTTTTATTCTCTTCTCAAAAGCATACTTATCACAACATTCTTATATTATCATACCTAATTATCTAAATGATCATGAAAAAACTACTAAAAATATATATATCAAAAACTAACTATGATAAAGAAAGAAACTCATTTGTTTCTTTTTTTTTCTGCTTCTTCTTTCAAACTATGTAGACCATCACTATTATCTTTAACATGTAGACGCTCTTTACGGAAATGTTATTACTCTTTTTTCCTATTTTAATAATATATAGAAGTACTAGAAACAAAGTTGTTATCATTTCCTTCATTTTTTTTATTTTTTTTGTCTTTTTTTTTATCTACTAGACTGCAATACACAACAAAAGGTACCAAAGCCCTTCGTTTGTTGGGCGATGGTAGCCGTAAACATACTGATGCTACAAGAGAAAATCAAAAATTTAATGCAAATGAATCAGTTAAAACGAAAAATGCCATAAATAAAAATGCACAACGTCGTCTTCTATTAAAAAATGGCGAAGTTAATATATCAAGGTATATAATTAACTTTTATTGTAGATGAAACGTTTGCGTTAAAATATCATATAATATATCCATCATTAATCAAAAAATGAAAGTTTATCTAGGATTTTTTTGTAGGCATTTATAAAATGTACGTTTGATGTTTTTATGAACAAACAAAACAAATCGAGTGTTAATAGACCTCATTTATGAGACAGAATACATAATAAATCTTTCAAGAATCCTTGATAATACATAACGTCTTTTTTTTAATATTTAAAACGTTGGGGAGAAAAAAAAGAAATATTTATTATTAGTAATAAATCAACTAAGAAGAATATTCCATATGTTTCTCATACACACTCAATGTTTTCTAAAAGTATAAATAATTTATTAAAGCTGTCAGTTGAAATCATGTGTAGCAGCACATGATACTTTCTTCTTTAATTTAGAGAAAACTAAATTGATTGTGAAGTATAAATAAAAACTTCTTTTTTTAATTAGATTCAATATTGAAAAACGTCGTCGTCAATATTTGGCAGATATTTTTACAACATTAATTGATTTAAAATGGCGTTATACATTATGTTTATTTACTCTCGGTTTTTGTTTAAGTTGGTTGGCATTTGCTTTGATATGGTATTTATTAATGTTTTCATATGGAGATTTTCATCCGGATAATTATAACTCAGCGAATTATTCTGTATGTATTGCTGGTGTACATTCATTTGCTGGTGCAATACTTTTTTCAATTGAAACACAACAAACAATTGGTTATGGTACACGTGTTGTTAAAGAAACCTGTTATTTAGCTATTATTGTTATAATGTTACAGTCAAGCATAGGTGTATTATTACAATCATTTATGGTTGGTGTTGTGTTTGCAAAAATTTCTCGACCAAAAAAACGTACAGAAACTTTAATTTGGTCACGTGAAGCAGTTATATGTTTACGTGATGGACAAATGACATTACAATGTCGTGTTGGTGACATGCGTAAATCACATATTGTCGAAGCACATGTACGAATGTATTTAATAAAAAAACGTGTTACTTTAGAAGGAGAAATTTTACCATTACATACATATGATATGAATGTTGGGTTTGATAAAGGTGCTGATCGTTTATTTTTAATTTGGCCATTAGTTGTCGAACATATTATTGATGAACAATCACCATTATATGATATAAGTCGAGCTGATTTAATTCAACAACGTTTTGAATTAGTTGTTATACTTGAAGGTATTATTGAATCAACAGGTATGACAACCCAAGCACGAACATCATATTTACCATCAGAAATCTTATGGGGTTATCGTTTTGAACGTTTAATATCATTTCAACGTGATGATGGTTTATATCGTATAGATTATTCACGTTTTAATGTACATTATCCTGTTGATATAATAACATGTAGTGCTAAAGAATTAAAAGAATTACATGAATTAGAAAAATGGCATGAAAATAATCAAAATAATAATAATAATAATGTAAATGAAAATGAAAATGATAACGATAATGACACTGATTTTTGTACACCAGATAAATCAACAATAACAAAACCATCACCATCACCATTTAGTTGGCATGAAAAGAAGGAGAGCACATTGTAACTATCAAAAACAACAACAAAAAAAAAGATTTCTATCCGGTGTTTTTTTATGTAAAGAAGATTTTGCAAAAAAAGGATTATTAATTATTAAATTTGTTTTTTTCCCTTTATATTTAGGTGATAGCACAATTGTGCATGTGACTCGATCTTGGTTATTATTCTCTTTCAAAATTATCACGTTAAGTAAATAATAATTCGCATCAATAGATAGATGTACTTGATTTTTTTTTCCTTCTTTTCTTCTGTTTCTTCATTTTAATATTTTATTCTTATGATCTATATGCACGTATAAGAGCATGTTGATTGTTTAGTAGATTGTATATATATGATGTATGTGCCTATTTTTATTTGATATTAGCAACAAAAAAAAAAAAGAAATGAAAAAATGAATAACGAACACAATGATGTAGTTTAAGTTATATATCTTCAGAATAAATATTATATCTTAGAGATAGTAATTATTATTCAATGGATTTTTTTCTAATCATATTCGTATATTTCTCGAGAGAAATATCTTTTCAAAAAGTTATATTTGGATACACATAATAATGAAAGCAATATTTATTTAGAAAGCGTTTTTTTTAACCTTTTAAATGATAATCATAGTTAACATTCAATACGACTTCTTGTTATAAACATTTCTTACGCGACGATAACGACATGTCATTCTATTCTTTATGTTTAATATACAGGAAATTTTATCCTGTAGTATACTATAATTCTATAGGGATTATACTAAAAGCTATTTTTTTTTGCTTAACTAAACTATGACGTTAAAAAGAAGATTATTATCTTTAGTCGTATATATGATCAAGTTTTCCAAAAAAGGAAGATTTTCTCGGATATAATTAGCTTCATTGTTTTGATTTTATGTAATTATTAGTTCTATTTTTATCCATTAATTATTAACGCTTATCTGAGCTTTAGTTTAATTCTAAAGTAAATCAATCAATTCATTAAAACTAGAAGATATATGATGAAATAAATTTCGTAGTATAATTAAATAACAATCAGTTGATTTGTTTTCTTTTGCTATTGTATGTATGATTATGAAATTATACGAGAAAATAATTCAATATGCTATTTTTTATTTTTTTCCTATACTGCAAAAAACCGAAAACAAATGATAAATGTTTTATTTCGTATATTGGTTTAAGTAGGCTGATGGATCATAAGCTGTATCTAATGTAGTTTCAACTCTTTCTTTTTGTGCAGCTGTTCGACGTAATAAACGGGTTTTTTGTTCTTTTTCGGATAAACTTGCAATATCGACTGGTAACTAAAAATAGACAAATGAAAAGAATTTATTTAAATATAAATCTATTACTTTAACAAGATGTCTTGGTTCTGAATATCGTATACGTATTGTTGAACCATCGGGTAAAACAAGATAATTTGGATAAAGTCGAGAATAAATATCTCGAGAAAATCTTGTTATTGAACTACGATAACAATTCGATCGGCTAATCATTACTAATGGTAATACATTTTTTAATAACATTATTTCTATCTAAAATTATATTGACAAAAAAATAAATCCTTGTATATATGATAATCAAATCTTATCATTATTTCTTAAGATTTGTAGAAAATTACGTAGTATATGATATGTATGTTTGATGAAAATTGTAAATGAAATTATAATCGGCAACTGATATCGGAATCCTAAAAATTATTGTCAATGAGAAAATTAAATTATTCGGTCATAATACAGAAAACAAACTTATAGAAAGAGAATAACTGCAATCAACTTTGACATATCTTTATATAGAAAAGAAAAAGAAAATTATAAATCAAACATATTTAACTTTCCATCGAACTCTGATTCATTTTTATTATAAAATAAAAAATAATCACAGTATATTATAATTAAAACAAAAACAAAATATAAATATAAATAGATTTCACTCTAAAGCTGCAAGACGTTGATCAAGTTCATCAGCTAATGAATCTAATTCTGTATTTATTTGTGTTTGTAATGATGATGGTTCAATATCAATAATAAAATCATACTGTTGATCAAGACCTAAATAACCATCCGATAGAAAATAAAGTGTTAATCGTTGTCTTCCAATTTTATTTGATGTAACAAATGATATAGAAACAGTTGTATGTGCACGTATAGCTTGATTAACACGTTTCATACATATTAGTTCTCCAGTATCAGTATTGCCAAGTATAAATATCCAAGATTCATCTTTTGGTTTATTAACGGGTGATGTTGTTAATTGACGAAAATCATTTCTCTTAATAAATTATATAAATTATTAACTATGAGTCCCTGGATGTGTAATACTCCCTAAAGCTTCGATAATTTTCCATAAAATTTTTACCAGAGATAGAGCTTAAAAAACTCTGATTGCCAGTACTGATTCGTACTCTATTGACTGAGATTGTATGGAGTTATGATTAAAACACTAGTTTCAACTCTATGCTTTGATTCATAGGTAAACATAGTTTCAACTAGTGTTTAAATTATAACTTCATACGATCACAGTTTTTGAAGGTCAATCCGTAGTGAAAATTATTGACGCCATAGGGTGTATCACACATCCAGGGATTTATAACTAGTAGTGTATATATCAATGAAAATCTTACTCGTATTCGATTAAGTCTTTTTAATGTTATTTGTAATGTATATTCTTGATCAGCATGAACATTTGTTGGTAATGGTCGAATTTCTTCACTTGATGACCAAAAACCACGTATTTTATAGTTAAATTCAATTTGTGGTAAACGTGTTAAATATTCATAAATATCATCAATTTGTGTTGCTGATAAATGTTCATTAAGCAGACTAGTTAATGTTTCACGTTTAATATCAATTAATTGACATAAATAAGATGAAAATACTTGTGTTAATGATCGATCAGTTATATGTGGTAACGTTAATGTATCTGGATCAGTTATCCATCGAGCTTGAATTATCATTTGTAAGAAATGTATACAAAGTATACATGGTGCTAAAAGTGCTTTCGCTGCACATAAATCAATTAATGCTTGAATAATACGAATAATTTGATCGAGACAAGATTTTAAATCTGTTATGTAATCTACACGTGGAAATTCTAATCGACTTAAATGATATTGTATTAATAAATTAGTTTTAAAATGTGGAGAATCAAATTGAGGTTGAGTTCGACATGGTATTCGTAAACGTTCAATCATTGTTTTATGTAATTCATCTTCATTATGACGAACCTTTGTTTAAAAAAAATATTACTCATTAGAATTTTATACATCAAACTAAACGATATGCACTTGAAATCTAATCTTATTAAAGTGATAAATTCTATATAATTATAAAGATTACTTTCATAAGATTTCTAATTATAATAATAGTATTATCTCTCATTCATTTAAATAAGCCGGAACTAATTAATTACAAAATACTATTAACATCCTTTTTTTCCCTCTATAATCGTTATTCATCTTTCATAATAAGTATAATATAACCTTACCGGCATTTCAGCATATTCATATGCAGAAGAAATAACATCAATTAATTCTCCTATTGTTATTGTTGATGTTAATTTTTGTGAAAACATATATATTGTTTTATATGATATATAATAATGTGATGCTATTCGTGCAGGTACAGTTGCTTGTAATGTACGTTGATCAATATCATTAACAACTATACATGTTGCACGTATTAATTCATCTAATGAACGTTGTACAATAGCTGATAAATATGTATTAAGTGTTGTTTGTTCATCAGCATTATCTGATAATGGTTCCATATGATAATAACTTGGATTAACAAGTAAACGACGAAAAAAATATGTCCAAGTTAAATAATCAAGTGCTTCTTGTTTTGTTGAAATTGTTCCACTAACTACTTCAGCATTTAAATGATCAGAAAGTACATTAAGTAAACTTGATTCAACTAGAATAAATACAAAAAAATAATTTGGATTTTTCATTTATTTATTTAAATATTTACCTGGAAATGGTTCATAGAGAAATTTTTTATAAAAATTCTTCTTAACATCATGCACCATAATAACTGCTTTGCCAGAATCATCAAATTGAGGACGACCAGCACGACCCATCATTTGTAAAACATCCGTTATAGGAAAATCAACATAACGATGAGTTTTTCCATCATAATATTCCGTACCTGAAATTGAGTAATAGTAAAGTTAAACGAATTATCTATGAAATTACCTTTAATAATAACTAAATGTGCAGGAAAATTAACACCCCATGCTAATGTTGACTAGAATAGAAAAATAAAAATTTTAATTAAAAATTCTATAAATCGTTTTACTGTAGCAACTAATATTTGAATTCTTTGATTAACAAATAATTCTTCAACAATATGTCGATCTCGATCTTTTAAACCAGCATGATGTATACCAATACCAAATGATAATGTTAATCGAAGACTTTTATCTTGTATTTGTGTTAATAAATTATTTATTTCATGTTCAGGCATATGTAACCATTGTCTTGGATTATCATCATTTAATAAATATTTTGTTAATTCTTCGGCTGTTAAACGTGTTTGTCTTCGACTACTAACAAATATTAAAACAGGCTTATTTGGTGAATGTGTACGTATAGCTTGATATGCTGGCTTATTCATTGACATACAACGTGGACAATAATGTTTGCCTGGATAACCTTGTATATGTGCTTCTAATGGTACAGGTCGAACACTTGGTCGAAAATTATATAAACCAATTGTACCATGTATACCTAACCAATCAGCTAAATCACGTGCATTTGCTACAGCTGTTGATAGACCAACAATACGAAGTGGTCGTTCTGTATGTGATGAAATAAAATTTGCTCGTGAAACAATAACTTCAAGTACGGGACCACGATCTTCACCTAACATATGAATTTCATCAATAACTAATAGAGCAACTTGTTTAACATAAGAACGTGTTTGCCATGAACGACTCATACCATCCCATTTCTCCGGTGTTGTAACAATAACATCAGCTGATTGTATAGCACGTGTATCAGGTGTAAAATCACCTGTTAATTCAATAACTTTTTTACCAAGACGTTCTTCAAAACGTATTTTCCAATCATGAATACGTTCACGAACAAGTGCTTTTAATGGTGCAATATAAACACATTTCATATCAGGATATTCATTAAAAACACGAAACATAGCTATTTCAGCTGCTACTGTTTTACCTGAACCTGTTGGTGAACCAAGTAATGTATTATTATTTGTATGATATAAACAATGAAATATTTGTGTTTGAATTGGATTAAAATGTTTAAATTTAAATAGAGCTTCATATTCAGGTTTACCCAATGCACTGATTGGTAATGGATCCAAATCAAGTAATTCTATAAGAAATAAAATTAATCAATCTCATAGAAAATATTCTTTCTTATTATTGATTAGATATGTACGTGTTTAGTTTACTAATCACTAACAAAATGTAATCAATTCCTATTGAAATATCACTCAAGTATGAATAAAAGAGACTCGAATCTTTATTAGAATTACCTGTATGTGGCATATGTCTTTCTGGTAGTATCAGATTATGAAATGAAATAATAGTTGTTGTATCAGATCCAAGCCATTTATCGCTAATAGCTCGTACATAATATTGATTAGCTAATGGTTCAATAATTGGAATAGTAAAAATAATAGTTTGTGGTTCTTCTGTTTTAACTTGTTTTTTTGTTATTATAAAATATTCTGAATGATAAATATTATCTGTATCAGGATCTTCAATCCATATCCAAAAATTTTGACTATTTGCACCATGAATTCTATCCGACCAATTGAATGCAGCTGTTATTATTAATTTTATTCGTAAAACTGTTCGTGTTATGGGTTGTAATTGTGTATCAATTTTTAATATTGGTATATATGATGCAAAAGTTTTTATTTCTTTACCTAAACGTGCATTATGTATCATAATACCAATTTCTTTTGGATCCATATCTAATAGACGATCTGGTGTTAATTGTTTTGCATCTAATTTTTGTAAAATTTCCATACTAATATATTGTGAAAATTGCCATAAGGGATTAATTGTATCCCATATACGTTGTTCAACTGTTTTAGCTAAACGAAGTAAATGTGATGATAATGTTGCCCATGAACGTTTAAGTACAATTTCAAATAATGCACGTATTAAACGGACAACATTTTGATTAACATATGACATATCAGATACTAATGAAAATGAATTTATTTGTGCACGTGATACATATGCTTGAATAAGAATATTAACTTTTCCATGAACATTTTCTGCACCACCTTTAACAGGTAAATGACATTGATTATGATATAATGTATCAAGTTCATCTAATTCATCATCACGAATTTTAAGTTGAGAAAATTCATCAGCTAATGATGCAAGTCCAATAAGTTCGCCTTCATTCATAAAACGATTTAATAAGTGTTCGTTTATTGTTTCAATTGTTACATAATTGATATAATAATGAGAACTAAAGAAAGAAAAAAATCATCAAGTAAATTATATACCGGGGTAGCACGGATATGATCTAAGAGTTTAATTTTATAGACAGTTAAGATGTAAATTATGGGATCCCGAAAGATGCGAATGAGGGTGAGATTGAAAGGATTCATTTTGTTTACAAATCCCCGTCCCGGTGTCGTGTCTCTAATACTCGATTATTACTTTGAGTCATATTCCCTGTTACTGTTATGTACTTACGCAGTTCGTCCAAGATCTGTTGCAAATAGATATTCATTTTTTTCTTCAAAACGAATCATATGTGCTTTATCAAGTTCTCTAGCTGCTTTAATAATTAAATCACGTCGAAAACCCATTAAATTCGGATCAGCTGCTTTCATATGTGCATTAATACCGTATGTTATTGGTGATTGATCCATACGAACATTCAAATAAGTATAACGAAGCCATGAACATGCTTCAGTTACAGTTGATACTGTTCCAAGAACAATTTCTGCATTGAGATTATCAGTTAAATGACTAATAAATTGTGATTCAATTGGATTTTGTCGTGTTAATAAAGCTAAATAATGTTGAAGTTTATCATGTGTTGTTAATATAATACCATGACCATTTGTATCAAATTGTGGACGACCAGCACGACCAAATATTTGCAATACATCAAGAATACTTAAATCAACAAATGATCCTTTTTTACTATCATATAATTCAGTACCTAAAAATAATTTTTCTCAAAAAAAATATATGTATATATTTATAATTTTACCTTTAATAACAACAGCGTGTGCTGGTAAATTGACACCCCAAGCAAGTGTTGCCGTACAAATAAGTACTTTAATAAAACCTTTGGAAAAATATTTCTCGACCATATTTCGATCTTGTCGTAACATTCCTGCATGATGAATACCAATACCATTAGGAAATAGATCACGTAATTGAATATTTTTCGAATGAGATACATGTTTACATGCATCTTGATATTGTAGACGTTGTTTTGGTTCATCATCCTCTTTGTCTTTCCATAGAAAATGTTCTAAATCACCACGATTACGTGCATATTCAAGTAATTGAAGTCCTGTACGAACTGTAGCATTTCGAGCATGAACAAAAACAAGAACCTAAATTTTTCAAAAATAATGAGATTTGAAAAAACCTTTGAAGTCTCTATTTTACTAACCTGTTGTCGTCCGACTTTAATTTGTTCTAATACTCTATCATAACAAACTTCATCAAGATTTTTTGTTGCTTCCATTTTATTATTTCCTTTAATACCAATAAATGTTTGTGCTAATGGTACAGGACGAAAACGACCATCAAAAAAGAATAAACCAGTCATTAAATTAACATGAAGAAATTGAGCTATATCTGTATAATTAGGTAATGTTGCTGATAAACCAACAATACGAATAAGTTCTTGAGTTTGTTCAACTTGTCGAAGTGTACGTGCTACAAGTGCTTCTATAACTGGACCACGATCTTCATGTAAAAGATGTATTTCATCAATAATTAATAATCGAACACTTTGAACAAATTTTGTATCACCTATTGATTTACGTGTAACAACATCCCATTTTTCTGGTGTTGTTATAATCATATGTGTTCGTTCAATTTCTGCTTTAGTTAATTGCATATCACCAGTTAATTCTTTAACTTGAAGACCAAGAGAAGAAAGACGACCAGAAAAATTTTGTACCATTTCAGATGCAAGTGCTTTCATAGGTGCAACATAAATTATTTTAAAATCTGTATTCAATAAAACACCATTCGTTGAATCATAATGACGACGTAATTCATTAAGAATTGTTAACATAGCAATATTGGTTTTACCAGCACCAGTCCTTTCAAAGAGAAGAATTTTTAAAGTCAATACGAAGGTTTAACCCTCCGGCGGTGTTTGTGGATCCAAGAGGCCCACAGTAGTGTTTTTTCTACTTTAAGATCTATGCAATTCGACGCGATCTTTTCGCTAATCGTTAGTCTTCTAATGATACATAAGAACCATATGAAATTTCTCGCAAAACTATCAGCAGTCAAAAACTAGAGTATATGTCCGTTTGAATCCTTTGGCAACATTCGTGCTATATAGATGATTTTAATTCGTATTACGTATGTCCTCTATTGTTTCGAAGGTCTATTTATTGAAAATTGATTAGTTTATTGCTGCCAGTAAGGAATAATATGTTTCTCTATCCTTATTTATCTATCGAAATATTTTCACCATTCTCTTAACTTTTACTCACGACAATCGTAATTCTTTTTTTTCTTGAAGAATCACCATCTTACGTATACTACAAGCGTATCAATGCATCAGTGACTGAAAAGAGATCATGATATAGACCTTGATCTATCTTATATAGTACAATACAGATAAGTTTTCATGTTTTCCTTATGTATTTACGTGTGGGTCCACTTGGACCCACATACATGGTTCGTGTGACAACGTAAGAACACCTCCGGAGGGTTAATGAGTAGATTACAATCTCAATATTTCTTTCATCTACCGTCAATGATGACATCAATACTATTATAGGCACACCATGTGTTAGCATGCAATCACTCTAATCTATTAAATTGAATACTTACGGAGCTGAAATAAGAATATTTTCATTTGAAAAAGCTGCTGTTTTGTATACAACTGATTGAACTAAATTAAGTGTTTTAATACCATCTTTAAATAGAATTTGTCCTAATGGTTCTAAATCTTCAAAACGTATCAATTGCGGACAAATATGTTTGCCTAAACTAGCTAATTTAATTTGTTCACCATGTGGAATATGAACAAGATCATATGTTGGTGTTAATTTTCGTTCAATATTTTCTGGTAAAAGAAGATTTACGCCACCAATATAAGCTGTTTTTTGTTTAATTTCTTGTAATTGATCAAATACAAATGGGTATTTTTTATTTGCTTGAGATGAACGTGGTTGAGATGGATTTGCAAATTTTTCATAACGTTTCGCAACTGCAGTAAGTAATTGTCGTTCACGTTCATATTTTAACATTTCTGGATTTAAATATTCATCTAAATTATCATCAGATTGTTGTGCTCCTTGTTGTCGTTGTTGTTCTCGTCGCTCTGCTTTTCTTTGTTGTTTTTCTAAATCAGCTTCTAGTTTACTTCGTACAACTATTGTTGGACCATGAACTGGTTGTGTTTGACGTTGAATTAATTCTGGTGCACGAACAATTTCACGTGGACGAGCTTTTGCACTATTTAAAATTCCATCTATAATCATTTGACGATTTTGAATTAATTCACCAATTAATTCTAAATGATCATAACCAATAATATCACATAGCGAAAGTTGAATTTCATTATCAGTTTGATTTGAAACGAGATTTTCAAAAACTAAATTACAAAATTCTTGTTGACCTAAATCACCGGTATCAGTACGAGATTGTAAAACACTACGTAAACGATCTTCAAGCCATTTCTTTGTATAAATAGATGATGAAGCTGATGCCATCGGAGCAGTTGCTGGTAAAAAATCATCATTTGCGCTATCTTCAAGATTGATTCTTTCTTGTTCTTCATAAGCATGATCATAAGATAAACGATCTAACCATGGTATTGGTTCATTAATTTGCAATGAAATAGGATGAAAGACAGTTGTTTCACCAAATAAACCTTTCGATAATGATTTCGAGTCATTCGGTATTGAATATTCTTCGAAAAAATCTGGTTTAAGAGAGTTTTGTAATGCACGTATTAATTCAAATGTTTGTGTTACTAATTGTTCAGTATAAGTTGGAAATCTTAATTTTAATTCTTTTAAATGTGACACTTGTATTTGATTAATATTACGAAATAAATCAAAAATATACACACATACAGAATCAATCGATGATGAATCTAATTCTGAACCAGCTATAAATTATATCATAGAAAGAAAGAAAATAAAAAATTTAGTTTTTGTTTAGAAAAAGAAAACGAACCAAATTCAATAGCATATTTTCGTAATTGTTTTATTTGTGAATCGGTCGTTGGTGGATTAGAAGTATGTTTAAGAATTAATTGTTGAAGTTCAGTCCATGTTAAAGTTTTTATTGTATCTTTATTGGATGTTAATTGTCGACGTCGTTGTAATTCATCAATATCACCACGATAATGTAAACGTTCAGCAATATCGGAATGTGCCCGAAGCGAACCACTTATACGTGGATATGTTCGATAATCGATCATTCTAAAAATAAAAAGTATTTCAAAAGAAATGAAATAGTTTAAAACGAATATTGGGCAAGTACATATTACATTTAGGAAAGAAATCATTCATTGATCAAATAGACCAATCCTGTAGGAAGACTGATAAATTAGTAGAATATGATTGATAATGTCTGACATCTGGAAACATTTTTACATGAAGTAATTTCTTTTCATAATTGAATAATAACCGGAAATCTGAAGAACTGATAATAGACCTTAATTTGCAATCTGGTAGAATTTCGTAATCAGATTTCATAGAAATTATCAGTCATACTATCGAACAAGATAAAGAATGAAGTAGTCTTGATGTCGAAATTTAGCAGATATGATTATACCTCTTGAGTTATTATCAAAAAAAATTTTTAATGTAAATTTAGTTTATTAAAATAAAAGAAAAATAAATAAAAAAATTAAGGTTTAAGAACAACTTTAACACAATTATCCATTTTATCATTGAACATTTTGTACATATCTGGTGCTTTATCTAATGGAACAGTATGTGTAATAACGAAACTTGGATCAAGTTCACCTTTTTCGATTAATGGTAATAATGTTGGCCAATAACGTTGACATGGTGTTTGTCCAGCAGCCATTCGCATACCTTTTTCCATAAATGCACCAATATTGAAACCATTGGTTGTACCAACATAAATACCAATAACTGAAATCATACCACCTTTACGGACGGCCATAATCATTTCATTTAAAATATCTGATGGATCTGTTTCAAGACCAATAAGCATTTGAGTTTTGTGAGATGTTGATTTAGCATAATGACAACCGACAGCTTCAATACCTACATCTGGACCATTTGGTAATAATTCTTTAAGTTGTTCAAGTGTTGAACGTGTTGAGAAATTAATTGTTTCAACACCTGGTAAATGTTTCTTAGCATAATCAAGACGATATTGTACGTTATCAATAAGAATAACACGTGATGCCTTTTTATATTGAGCTGAAAGTGCTGCAAGCATTCCAACTGGACCACAACCCCAAATAGCAACTGTTTGACCAGCTTCTACTTCACCTAATTCAGTTGCATGCCAACCAGTTGGTAATATATCCGAAAGAAATAAAGCTTTTTCATCGGATAAACCAGCTGGTACTTTCAATGTATTTGTATCAGCAAATGGTACACGAACATATTGTGCTTGACCACCATCCCATCCACCTGTGACATGTGAATAACCAAACATACCTAAATCAAGTATAGAATGGTTTTTTTTCATAATCGAATTATTCTATCTTACCAGCTGTACGATGACCATATAATTGTTCTTGTTGTTTTGAATCATTTGTATTATCACAACTTGAATAAAGTTTTTGTTTACCAGTACAAAAATCACATTTATGACAACCAATATCAAAAGCTGTTACAACTCGATCACCTTTTTTAAGATGTTTTACTTCACTTCCCATATCTTCAACAATACCCATAAATTCATGACCTAATATATCACCTTTCTCCATGCCTGGTACACAACCAAGATATATATGCTAATGAAATAAGCAAATTATTTAATTAATAATAGAAAGAATATTTTTTGAACATACTAAATCAGATCCACAGATTGCTGTTGATGTTACTTTAAGAATAACATCATGAGGATCAGTAACTAATGGACGTGGATGATCAATCATACGGATATCTTTATTACCATACCATGCAACAGCTTTCATTGTTTGTTTAGTATCTTTTTTTGATGTTATTGTACAACCTTGTGCTTGACGACATTGTTCATTTTCTCCAGTCATTTTGAATAAGAATTAATAAGTATATGAAATGGATAATCGAGATAAATAATGTATGTATATATATACTAGTGTTTATATAGAATCGAAATTGACTATATCAAATAAAAGACTAGTCGATAATATCTATAGAACAAAGAATTTTAGTCAAAATAAACACTGAATCATATCTATTATTCATAAAACAAAACATGTTCTGTGTGTCTAACATATAGTATTTTGAAACGTGAAAAATGATAATTTCAACAATCAGTATAATTGTTAGTTGATCCTCATTAGAAAAAAATCAGGAATAAAATTTCTACAAGTTTCATTTTTTTTCTTTTAATTCAAAATTTACTGATGAAATATTATCATCTATTAGAATTAAATCTTTTGGAATTCTTTTATAAATCAATAATTCACTTTTAGGCTTGATTTGTTCTTTTAATAGAAATCATTAGACGGAAAAACACATCATATAATATAAATCTTCAACTGTAATCGTATTAGAATAACTAGCATGTTGTGAAATAATCTCGTGTGAATAGATTATTAATATTAAAAAAAAACATTTTTTTTATTACTGACATCGCCTTTTCGTTAAGTAACATTTATATTTTACCTAGAAAAAATATTTTCAAGTTCAAGGTATGTTGCATGTTAGAAAGATCAATTTTTTTCCTTGTTAAACTACTTTTCATGTATTACAATGATTATTATCTGGTAAGGTTTAACAAGTATTTTACTCTTCTAGTAATGGATTGAAAGGAATCATGATATATATATATATATATATACTTTTTTTTTATCATCGTGTCATTTTTTTCTAATTAAATCCATCGAGCACAAATCTGCATTGTCAGTCTTTTTTCTATGATGCTTGACATAAAGGCAGAAAAAAAGACATTTCCAAGAAGGTAAAAATGCATCCGTTTTAAGCCGATTAACAACGATTCACATCTGCAGAACTGTCGTCGCCGTCGACGACGAGAGACGATGACAGTAAGAATAGAGAAGATATTCGTCATCGATGCTTTGTGAGTTTAATAAAATCCAAAAAAGAGAAAAAAAAAAAGATGCTAGGAAAATATAAAACTACATTTTCTTCTTTCTATGTTTTCTACTTTTCTTTTTTAAGCTGTTTTCTTGTATTTGCTGTTCCGTGTTAAATACAAGCAGAAGAAGTAAGACAAGTAAAAACAAAAAAGAGACAACTTCATCAAACAGACATTATTGTTTTTGTCTATTAGTTAGTCAATACGTGAGTAGACATGTTAGATGACATTATCATTAATCAGTTGTCGAAAACAAAGAACTAGACGAATTTTGTTTTCTAATGATATGTATTAATAATAAGTTTAATAATTTTGTTCTTAGGAAAATTCAAATTTTAAGAAGAGAAATGTCGATGATGTACTTTTTTTTTCCTTTAAGAAAAAACAAACGGAAATCGTCATCTCTCTTTCTTTCTAATGATGCGATGTGTACAATTATCCTCACCTCATAAACTGCAAATCTTGTCGTTATTATGTCACTTTTTTTTTTAAGCTAAAAGAATAAACGAGTCAACAAGGAAGCGTATTGGTTTATTCATTTTATCACACAACCTTTCCTTCTGCTTCACTTGCAATTATCTTCTCCTTTTATCTGTTTTTTTCCTTGTTTCTCATACTACTTTTTTATTATTTGAATAACAACAGTTACTACTCGCCATTTTTTAATGCTCGAATGAATTAACCGAATGAATATTTTTTACCATGACTATATTACAATGTTTTTCGCTTTTTATTAAAGAAATGAGAGAGAGAGAGAGAGAGAGTAAGGGCGACAAATAGAATCAGATTTACTTTCTTTAAAAAAAAAGAAGTAAAGACACATCTTTTGATTAGTATGATTAATAATACGCATAATATCTATCTGTCACACATATGTATACATAGATTATATGTTACTAGTGATAATATAAGTCACTTTTCTCGTTTCTTATAAATCCAATTACATTCGCACACACTAGATTTTGTTTATTATTGAAATTTTTTTTCAACATAAACATGAACTGTCAAAGTAAGTGTCATTCTCATTTTTTATTTTCTAGATCTTATCGACAATACAAGAGAAAATGAACCGAAATTGTTTTGTATGCATTCATATTAGATGATCCTTATTCAAATTTTAATAATAAAATTAATTTGTATTATCTTATAAGAAAGAACAATCATAGACTAATTATTCTCGTTTTTGATTTCCTAGAGTAATGAGGATATTTTTAAATATCATAATTTAGAATTAATTCATTTTTTTAGATTATAATTTAAAGATCGAATGTTGAATACATGCATCTATTATTTGATATAATTTTAATTTTTCTATTTCTCCCAACTTATTTATGTGTAACTAATTTCACCTATACATTTTCACATGTAGCAACAAGTAAAATACCAACATTGTTACAATCAGATGGTTTTCTATTAACTGATTCATCTTCTGTCGCACGTTTATTATCAACTGATGATGAATTAATAAATTCAACTCAAATTCTTCTATCATCTAATAATTCACAATCAATTGCTTTTAGTTGGAATACAGGTGATTGTTCATTACCATCAGCATTAGCATATACATATCCATTAATTGATATTAGTAGTCCAATATGTTTTTCATCCATATCTTCATCTATAAATAATATTTTACAATTAACAGTTACAATTCCACAAGTAGCATCAGCAGCTACGTTGTATATGAATCAATATTCTTTAACTTATTTTTCAATGATTATAAGTTCTTCAAATAATTTTTATTTTAATTATGCACAAGAATTTTCAACTTATCTAACACAAAATTCGTTAACACTTGAACATTTTTTATTTAAATCAAGTTTTACTTCATCATTAGTTTCTGCTCGAAGCAAAGGTTTGTTCTTATATTTAAATAATAGAATATATTCTTGATTAACCGAGCGTATAGATTTTTTTTAAAAATTCTTCAACGGAATTCTCATGTGAATCTTTATATGTCGATAGACTACATCCTCCTCAAGTTCTTTAAATAGAACAAACTGTTATTTAGTGTCTATAGATAAGTAGCATGAAATTGTTTTTTTTTATTCTTATTATAATTTGAAGAAGACTCTTATAAGTGCACTTGGTATTTAATCTAACAATATTTTCAAAGTATTCTTTTACAGGTTAAATTCAGTTGATGAACGACACTTTTTTTAATCTTAACCTAAAAGTTATAGAAACCATCTAGAATTTCTATTTCTACGTTATGAATAAATTTTAATGTCGATATTGGTTTCCTGACATTTTTTTTTCTGTAATTTTAATATAAATGTCATTTCGAAAGATTAATCTGGACTAAATAAGTCTTCGTGAATGAAACCTATGTTCAATCTAGATCTTATATGAAATTAATAAAGCTTCTGTTTTTAGTTTATTTTATCATATGTTCATATGCTGATGAAATTGATCTATATTCCAAAATTGTTTCATTTTCCCAATTATCAACAGGAAATCCAATTTTTATATTTATTCGTTGGTCACCACATTTTGTTAGTTTTTATACAAAACAATATATACCAGATAAATCATTAACCGTACCTTCATATTATTTTGCTATTCTTCATCTTTTACCAATCGATACTGGTTCAACCAGCAGTTTTTATAATATTGTTTCGAATTATGAACAACAAATTCTTACTAATGTATCAAATGCAACAATCGACGACGATGTAAGAAATATTTAAGAATCCATTCATTTTAATATATTGTTTTTTTTAAACATTTCAGCTGATTTTTATTTTAAATGAACTTGAAAGTGTAGAATATCTTCAACAACCGAATTCATCAATATTTCTTAATCCAATTACTTTAAATAGTGCTCAACAACGTTTATTTACATATGCATTAATTGGTTTGGAATGTAATAGCTCATGGACAATATTTAAAAAATTAAATCCAAGCAATTCAGTATTTCAAAATATTGATACAAATCTAAGTTTATGCACACGTATTACTTATCCAACTACTGATGCGCTTGTTACTAGTGATAGTGGTTTGTTATAGATGACTTTTTTTGAAATTTATTTATCATAGAAATTTTCCTGTTATTTAGGATGGAATATACTTCGAATTGTACTTTTTTCATTGTTAGGTGTAGCCATAGCATGTGCTGCTGCTCTTGTCGCATTTTTTGTTATAAGGTTTGTTAGAATTTAGATCGAAAAAGAAAATGATGAATTCATATTTTATATATTGTAGGAGTCAACGTGCTCGACAACAGATGTCCAAAGGTCCAAACAAAATTATGCTACTACCAGAAGATTTAATGTTTGTCATGCCAAAAGGATCAATATTTACTAGCAAAGTTTGTAGATTATAATAAATCATAAACTTAAATTCAATACTTCTAAATTTTAAGGTTAATTTACGAAATGAACCACATGAACGAAGTAATGTATCATTACGTAGTGAAGAATTTCAAGCAGGAAAAACGGCACGTTTCAATGTATGATTTCAATTGATATAATAAAATAAAAATTAAAAGAAAGATCTGTTTTTTTTCTAATAGGGTGATTTAGTTGAAGTAAAAAAATTACATATTGGTCCATTATCGCTTCGTACAAAAGTTATGAGAGAATTACGACAATTAAAAGATTTACGTCATGAAAATGTGAATGGATTTATTGGAATTTTTATTGATCAAACTGCACCAGCTTTAATTTTTGAATATGGACAACGAGGCAGTCTTGAAGTAAGAAAAATAAATAATCTTCTCTTCTTTTTGTGGGTATCAATAGAAAATGAATTATCTTTTAGGATATTTTAAGAAAAGAAGAGATCAAACTTGATTGGAATTTTAAATGGTCAATGCTTAATGATCTTGTTCGAGTATGTTTTAATTTTTTTCAACTAATCGAAAATACAAATTATTTGTTAGGGTATGCGTTATTTATCAAATTCTGCGATACGTTGTCATGGAAATTTAAAATCACGAAATTGTATTGTTGATTCACGTTGGGTATTAAAAGTAACAGATTTTCGTCTCAATGAAATATATACGTTACAAAATGCTCCACGACAAGTTGACTTAATCGGTTTGTATAAGAAAATTTTTTTTTGTAAAAATAATAAAATGAAATTTTGTATTTAGATCTTTTATGGATGGCACCTGAACATATTCGTACAGCAATTATTAAAAATGATGTAGCAACCGTAATGACAAGTTCATCTGCCGGTGATGTTTATAGTTTTGGTATTATTATGCAAGAAGTTATTTTACGTGGTGCACCATTTTGTATGCTTGATCTTACACCTCAAGGTTAATAATTGTTCATAAGATGAAATTTTATTATTCCAATTTTGTTTTTGTATAGAAATCATTGCTAAAATAAAAAAACCACCACCATTATTACGACCATCAGTATCAAAACAAACAGCCCCACCTGAATATATTAATTCAATGAAACAATGTTGGGCAGAACAAGCTGAAACACGACCATCATTTAATGATCTTGCTCAATCAATTAAATTACTCAATGGTGGAAAGTAAGTTACCTATTTATAAGGAAACATAAACAATAGTTTTCTCACTCTTGAAATGACTTTCGTTAGCATAAGGTTAAGATGGTAGTTTTGAATATGAATAAATTTTACCGGACAATGTTTCATATTCGTATTTTTAATAATAGGAAAGTCAATATTGTTGATACAATGTTTAAAATGCTTGAAAATTATTCAAATAATTTGGAAGGTTTAATTAGAGATCGAACAACGCAACTTGAAGAAGAAAAGAAAAAAACTGACAAACTTCTATCACAAATGTTACCACCGTATGAAATGATTTTTATTAATTTAATATAAAAAAAACAATATTAATTATTCTATTTTTTTCTGTATACAGGAGTGTTGCTGAAAGTTTAAAATCTGGTAAAGCAGTTGAAGCTGTCTGGTTTGAATGTGTAACAATTTATTTTTCTGATATTGTTGGATTTACGACAATATCTGCATTAAGTAATCCAATGGAAGTTGTTGATCTATTAAATGATTTATATACAATGTTTGATTCAATTCTCGAAGATTTTGATTGTTATAAAGTTTGTTATTTATAGTCTGTTTTTTATTCTATAAGAATATGAACGAAATTTAGGTTGAAACTATTGGTGATGCATATATGGTCGTCAGTGGTCTTCCACTACTAAATGGAATACAACATGCATCAGAAATAGCCACAATGGCATTAACACTTTTACATGCATGTGGTAAATTTCGAATTCGTCATATGCCTGGTGTACCATTACGATTACGTATTGGTCTTCATTCTGGTGCATGTGTTGCTGGGGTTGTTGGTCTTAAAATGCCTCGATATGTAAGAAATTTTGAGAAAGAATTTTTATAGAAATTAACATCTTGTTTTTTGAAAATAGTGTCTTTTCGGTGATACAGTTAATACAGCGTCTCGAATGGAATCAACTAGCATGGGTATAGTTATTTAGATCAAAAAAGAATTGATTTATTTTTTAAATATCAATATCGATTGTTTTCTTTTTAGCTTTTCGTATCCATTCAAGTGAAACAACTGCTGCTTTGTTAGAAGAAATTGGTGGATTTAAATTAGAATTACGTGGTGTTACTGAAATAAAAGTATAATATAAATAATAATTAATATGAAATTTGAATTTTATCCTTTTTTTTTGTAGGGTCGAGGAAATTATAAAACTTATTGGCTTTCTGGTAAAGATGGTTTTGATAAAGAACTACCGGATCCAGTTATTTCCGATAGTAGTCATGGGTATGAATTAGAAATAAATATCAAGATCAAATAAATATGACCTTTTATTTTTGTTTAGTCTTGATAAAGAACTTGTTAGGTTAGTTGAAGAGAAAAAGGCACGTGAACAAGAAGAAGCTGAAAAGCAGAGAACAGCACGTGATGTAGTTGAAAGTCAGAAAACAACAGAAAATACTCAAATTCAAGTCAAACCAATTATTGAAACAGTATCTAAAGAAACACATAATGATAATAAAACTGCAGATTTATTAAGGTAAACTAACTAAAGATTTTCTTTATAAAACATTTCTCGTTTCCAGATTCACACCACCGCCATCGAAACCACCATCACAAGTAACACGTGCATCACCTGAACCACCTAGAATTATTAATGCAAGTGAAATTCCAGCGAAACTACAAGCAATGAATGGTCCTAGTGGACCTGTTAAAAAGTCAAACAAAGCAAAATGGTGATCTTTCATAACGTTATTAATTCATATGTGTTAATCTATTTATATTCTTTTAATTGTTGTCTTTCTTGTTTTTGTTTTTGCTTTAAAATCTCCGAATGGATACAACTATTCATGCATATTTATATTTCAATCAAACCGGTTTTCTCAACTCTTCATTCTATTACAACTATTTGCAACCAAAAAATGACAAAAAAGAAAATTTTTGACATCTTATGTATATTTTTATTTGAACTATTTTAACAAAGTTTTTCATATAATATAACTTCTTAATTGATTATATAAAATTTTTTCAATAAACATGAGCATTTATAATTTTTTGATTCTTTGAACTGTCTCTCACTCGACACGGCAAAATATTTTTTCGGAATTTTTGATGCCGTTACCATTTTCCGTGAATACAATTCATCTGGACTTAAAACCTAATAATGTATTTACTCGGGATTCCATAGTCCCTATCCCGTTTTTAACAGGAATAATCGTCCCACCGCACCCTAGTTTGTTTTGATATTATTAAAATCAAGCACTTCAAAATAATGTTTTTTTTTTGTATTAATCTCATATTATATGAATTCTATGCCCTTAAAAAATTGACCTGTTTTTTTTAATTACCAAGAAAATACACCTATATGTTATTTGTTATTGTAAACTTTATTTTGACAATGCAAGTCATCACACAATTAGAACTCTTCTTTATGCAATCAATCATTTGTATTTCAATACAATTCATGAAAACCATACAGTATTTTTTTCATTCAATTCATTCACTCACACGCACATATGTACCAAAAGATAACAAAAAATAATAATAATTAGGATATGTAATTGTATTGCACTGTTGTTTGATCATCATTTCTATCCATACAATATATACAAACATTAGACAAAAATATATCGGTGCTAAAACGCGCCTTATCATATTTATTCATAATGTTGAACTAATGTTGATGTATCATCATAATTACGAAGAATAGTTAAACATTCGTTTAATAAATTTTGATATTCATCTTTGCTTTTTAATGGCATCAAACTTGTATGAGAATTTATTGGTGTACTATGTACATGTTCAGTTATATGATCTAAGATCGATTTTAATTTTAATGATTTATCATTAAGAGATGAACTTGCGAGAAAACGAACGAAACTTGTTAACCAAAAATGATATTCACGAATTGAATGAAGTACACGTGATCGTTGTATTTGAGTTTCAAGATAAGCAGATACAAGTAATTCACGATTTGGTGATGAATATAGAGTTTTTTGATAAATATCATCATTTATTGTAGCACCATGTGATTTCGTTAATGTAGATAATGGACCTGATGAAATTAGATCAGATGGAAGAGCAAAATCAGATACAAAATCGTGTTTATGAAATAAACATGTCCAATGTTTAAGCATATTATCAAATCCATAAAGATGTCCCGTACCTAAAATATTCATAAATAATTTCGATGATAAAGAAATATTTTCTATAAATAATACTAACTTGTTATAAGACAAACAGTATCTGAATTAATATGATTTAATGTAAAAATATCAACAATTGATGCATGTGGTGGTAATAAATGTGAAATATTAATATCAATTATTGGACATGTCATAGAATTACGTGTTATATCAAATACCGATAATAATCCAGTAATATAAATAATTGAAATAGTTGCTCGTTGTATATTATTCGTATTTTCTGATATATATAAAGCAGCTAATGTTTGTGTTAGAACAATATTTGAATATAATCGCAAACCACTTTGTCGTTCTAAGACAAATAATTCTGAACAATGATGTGTTTCATTTAAAGTAACAAGTGCAATAAAATGTTTTGTTGCTTGCATAGCAAGTACTGGTGATTGAAAGACATTTTTCCATTGTGCTAATTTAGTTTGTTCATGAATACATGATAAAATATAGATTTGATCAGATGATTTTTCTGTACGTAATTCATATTCATTATTTATTTTACGTATTATATTTGATTGTAATTTAAGTGGAGGAAATAAAGCAGTTGAACTTATTGATGAAGGTAATGTAATTGATGATGTTGATGATCGAATAACACCTTTTGTAGGTTTCGGATCAATAGGAATGCTAGGTATACGAC